AGATATGGAGCACCACCCGATCGATAAAACAGCAAATACAGTGGAGCTCTGTCTGGATTGCTTTTCAAACGTTCAGGTCAGCGGCTTCCTAAAAGGATTGGAAACGAATCGGCCAAAACTAAATAAGCTAATGTGCCAGTCAGCGAACTTCCTGCGCAGACAATAACACTTGAGATATAATATCTATCCATCTATAGATGGATAATATAGCATCTATCTATATATATGTAGGTTAGCTACTCATCGCAGTATGGTAATATAAATAGAATAGGGAAGTGGAAATGGGTTATGCTAGGGTGTGACCCCACTCGGCCATTACAAGAGACGCGTACGTACGTTCTTCGCGTATAGACTGTAAGGTTTATAAAAGAAAAAGACCAACCGTAAAATATATGCAATGCGAAGTGAAGGCAAGCGTTCGCCGACCTATGTCTATAATGGTCAACCCGTTAGTATTTGCTATTGATCGAGCGTTCTGATGCTGCAGCGGTGGCAGTACGGAGTAACAATGGTCAATGAAAAAAAATGCTGGGAAAGTAGAGCTTGCACCACAAGCTACAAACAGCTATGATGTCCTCCAGAGTAGTTTTTCTTGTTATTTGCTTAGTTAGCGAGCGAACCAGAGCGGAAAAAGGCGGCAAGAAAGGTATATTACACGTAAATGCTGAGCGCGCCACTGCTATGGTACTACACAACATAAAAATTACCACTAAATTTAGCCATTTGTAATCGGAAGCTGGCTGTCATAAGCCAGCAAACTCTAGTGGGTGGAGAAGAGCTTGATGATGAAAGCTAAAATTGATTTTTTTTTTTTTCGTGCGTGCAGAGAACGCACGGGCCACCAGCGGCACGAGCACCCTCAGTCGCACGTCTTTTAACAGCGGTTTAACAGCTTGAAAGGGGCAGCTGGGCATTAAAGGGGATAAAAGAAGCGTCTCGTAGCTCTACTTGATATGATTAGAATTAGAGTGATAACTTCCTCTGCTCCACAAGACGAAGACAAACAAAAACTGCCAATGGTGAGTGAAGAACAGGCGCAGTCCTGTCAGGAAAATTTTCACTACGAAAGTCTAGTTAGAGATACAACAGGTACAGAGAAAAATCTACGACCTTTAACCGTCTCGCTTACTTAGTCAGGACAATGTTGGCAAGGCGATGGATATGATTGTATGAATATGGCTAGCGTCCAATGACGCGGTTCCACATCGGTGGTGGACGGCTTGATTGTCGAAATTTTCCCAATAACTTATTCCATTCAAAGATGAGTACTCTTGCGTACTACAGCGAATAGGCATGAAAGAAATAATTAGCTACAATTTTTCTAGGACTGTGGATAGGCCTGTAGATTTATAATAAAAAAAAAAAAAAAAAAAAAAAAAAGTAACACCTTGGGCATATTAGTGCCTTGGATCTGCAACTGTTTGAACTATAGCAAATGTAGATTTTTTCAGTTACAGAAATTGTATAATATATTCGCTAGCAAACAGTGAATAACTAAAACTTCATATTTAGTATTCAAATCGAGAGATTAGGCCAACTTATGGATTGATGTTTACCATCGAAAAATGTCACGGCCTTCTCTAGGGCCCTGCCATATGTGCTGTTGTATTTTAGGCTATGATACGGATTACTAGTTTAAACTTCGAACGAATCCAACGAGAAAAAGTTTACCTTATTATTCCCTATGTATTGTTATGTCTAAATAACTATATTTTTTGTTGCCTTTGCTCGCACAAACTGTTGATTTAAGCAAGCAGGCTGAATAAAATAGCAATATTATGAATTAGTGATATTATACATGTTATACGATGTTTATTATGCAAGGATCAATATGATCTTTGAGACTTTGTTAGAAGCAGTATGAATCCCATGTACCCGCTAAGCAAACCCGGAGCATCTAAATGACGAAACAACTTTTTTCGTGGGCCGCTCGTTACCTAGGTAATTTATCACGTAGACATGAGGTGGGCGGGAGTTGCCAAACAAATAGATGAATTAAATATTAAAGAGAGAATTAAAGGCGGAACTCAGCGTTGAACATACTGGCCAAAGACATGCTTGCTCACCTTGCCAGTTCATCCGCGTACTATTGAAATACCTAGCTGTACCTTATCGAGCACAATTTTAGGCGGACAACAGAAAGGAAATTAAATAGGGCGCTAGTGTTTTCCGTCGATTAGTTGAATGTGGCCAGTAGCTATCGAGCTTTTGTAGTGTATTCAGTTTAGGCAGTAGAATTGCAGTGTGGTAAAAATGCGTTCCCAAAAGAGCGATTAACCCAGGCCAGTGCCTTCGAAATCTAGCCGAGACAAGGTTTATTTTCGAAGCAATTTCCACAGGCCGCATCCAAAGACATAGAGAATCGCCTCCTGAATCCATTTGCCGGAATGCACTCTTCGCTTTTGTTAGTTAGGTGGGACAGAATGTCTGCAAACGACCTTGGAAATTGAATCTCTTCAGTGCCTCGAAGAAAACTAAACCACCTTGCGCGATAGCCTAAGCCTAATAGGCTGTGGACACGAGCAGTATTTATCCATATCGACAGCCGATCGACACCCATACAGCCGGAAAGTCGCAGCATTTGCTAGTAGCAATGACCATGTTGATAGCGTTATAATATTGAATGTCCTATTACACTTGCAGGCAGGCAGACAGACAGAGTGCTCTGACTGAAGACCTATGAGTAGCTACTGAAAACCCCACGATGCTAATCCACGTGCCATCGTTACAGCTGCTGTCTCTGATGCCTATTATACAGACCTGGAGCTTCGGGCGAGGACGACTATATTATATGGCTTGAGTCGCTAAGACAAGCTTGCCTGTTTACATGCCGCTCTCGGTGGCCATCATTAAAAACACAGCAGAAAAAGAGCAGATGTGACCCAAATAGAGCCCTTTGTTTTTTTGTACTCGAACATAGAAAGCTGGACCAGAGTAAAATGCGCTGTTGGTGCCCATGACCCAGTTAAGATTACCTTTCTACCTAGGCGAGCAGAATAACCGAAAAAATAAGAACACTTAACGAACATTGTTGCAACCTAGAAAGAATTCATTATATATACACTAAGCTATCGTACTTTATATTTCAGTGGATAACATAACGCTTTCATAGAATGCATAATGGTCCATAGAGAATTCAATGTTGAAGGAAAAGTTTTTTGTTTGAAATATTTGGTCATACCTATTCCGTTTGTCTGCGTCCTGTTTGTCTTCTAACGCTTTATAGTGCTGCGGGCCAGCTTTAATATTGTAAATTTACCAATAATGAACAAACGCACTTCAGTCAATAGCAGAATAATGAGAGGCACACGGCAATTGCCCCTTTTGGGCATCCGACACATGAATTTAAGTCATAAGAGGAAACTTATGTTGTAAAGCTGATTTTATAACTAAAATATATGAACACCTTGGTTTCTTAAGGTGGTTATTGTTCTATTTTTGGCTATATTCGATAGTGATTCTAACATCGGTTGATAAGGGTCGTACAGTGGCGTACTTAGTCTATGGTTTAATTGAACGATCTTGAAATTTAGATAAATAAGCTTGTTTCTCACTTCGATGCTACCTCATGCGCAGCGAAAATATCATTTGATGTCCAGATACCCACATCTTTCCGCCGGCAACGGTTATTCAACGGTAAAAAAAATTACTGTCTTTTGTCCACTTACATATATACACACACCTGCCATTCAAATAAGATCAGCGTTTCCGATCTGCCATTAACTAACTAATGACAACGTGCAGCCTGTTCTTGGCACCCATTACGGGATCTGTACAGCATTGTTTTTGACTTTTTTAACGCATAACACAGCATTAGGGTATCATTTTCAACAGGAGGGATTTTTGTTTTGCACTGCGTTCAGGCGCCTTTGCTAGTAAACTCCTGTGTGCACGTATTGAGGGGGTAGAGTCGCATTTAATACTTAGTAGTTTGCAGGAATTGTGAGTGCTATACGCGGTCTCCGTCATAGCGTAGTGTGAAACGTTACTGCACGTCGATCCTAGGGACACGCGATGGCCTGGATGCCAATCTGGGCATGAATAAACTTCGTCTTGTGTCGCGAGCCAGTCGTCTAATAGAATGCCAAATGGCGATGCCGGACGTAAACAATCGAAACATAGAGCTTAAGGTAGAAAAGGTACTGGCCTTGAGTTATTTGTTTTTGAGTTTGTGTGTTACTAAGAATAGGTTCGTATATATATACACGAAAAAATCTTACGAACGTCAGGAGCTCTGTTAATGTTCGTTATGGGCTAAGAGGGAACTTGACGAGGAAAGGTTAACTTTAGTTGTATTTTGATTTTGTTCATCGAGTCACTTTGAAACCGTAAGAAAGAAATTAAAGCTAAATATATGCTTATACGTATTTCTAAAAAAATATTTACGTACAGGGTAAAGTTGTCAAAGGATCGATACGGCTTTTTTTTTTTTTAATTCAAGAAAAAGCATACCTTAATATAGGGTTTGCCCTATTTTTTTCCAGGAACATTGGATTCGCTCTTTTGTGCAGACGCTTACGACTATTTTGAATAATGTAGATGCACTGTTGAGTGAATGCTGGTGCTTTAGGGCGGGATTTGAGTAACTAAAATTGATGGTGGCCTGCCATTGAATAAGAACTATTGACCGCACATACTGTCGCGTTCCATCTGCGCATTTTAGCGAAACAGGCTCTGTATATCCCTATGTATGGATCATCACACTGCGACATGCGTTGTGTGCTCCTTTCCGAACTCTTTACAGGCTGTATTTCAGAAAACGACGTAAAGCATTTTTAAGCAACATCTACGGCAAGAGCAGGTTTTTTATGGATATGGATTTTCTTGATTCACCATGTCACATGCTACGTAGATCCGGATGTATCATTGCCATTTGGCAATCCAAATAACAGTATATTCGCAAAAATACACTGAATAAATGAGCTCTGTAATGTATGCACAGCCTATTAGATAACAATATAAATACGTTATTCTTTCTTTTACCTTACTTTTTGTTTCAGAAGCTACATACGGCAAATAGCAGCGATGGATGTGGGCGGTGGTGGAGGTAAGGGCGCGGACTTCCCATGGGAACCTTCGAAACGCAACTGCTCAAATGACGCCGTTGACAAAATGAGCGAACGCTGCCTATGGTCAGCCTGCAAAGCGATTAGTGTCGGATTATTGTTGATGGCTTGTGGGGCTGCAATGGCCACATTGGGTTTCTATTCGGATCACCTATCCACCGTAGAAGAACGTCGTGGCAACAGTACGGTGTTGATCAAAAACGAGAACCGCGACTGGCAGCTTGATTCGCTCACGTACCTTGGCCCGATGGTGATGGGCCTCGGTGGATTCATCATCGTTGCCACCTGCGTGATGACATTCGAGGCCCGCGAGAGTCGGGTAAGCAAGCTCAGCTGGTTCAAGAGGACCAGAGCAGCTTACGTAGCTCCTGATCCCAACGATCAGACGGCGGTCGAATCGAATCTCGTCTCGTCGCCCGGCGTTCAGCCCGATCCGCCCAGTGACATTTCATGGGACCGGCGCAGCTTCTTTCTAACAGCCGGAGGCCGAGGAAGCCCCTCGATCACCACCGAGCAGTCGAACGCGTCCACCAACCGTCGACGCCGCAGCAGTTTTGGGGATATCGCCCCGCTACACAAGTACCCTTCCGAGCCGAGTCTTGCGCACCAGGTAGTCACGCATCTACAGCTCAGTTCATTATCACCGGGCACCCAAATGGGCCAGGCGTGTCGGAAACTATTCGTAGGTCCCGGCGCCATTGTTGGCGTCTCCGGGGCGTCGGCCGTGTCGCCTAGTCCTGGCCTTGAGGCATCACTAACTGGCCCATTACTGCCACCCGGGAGCATCGTTTCCCAGCTACAGCCACAACAGTTACAGGAGACTTCCACGACGCTCAAGGGGTTGCAGTCCCCAGGTGCGTAGAAATTCCATCATCGTCTTCAAAACAGACCTAATAAAAGCACTCACACTTATACTGACTAGTCACTTGATAGACGGATATCTGTCAAGTGATTAGCCGGTAAACGCAATCAGATAACATCTCCCTGTTCTGTCATCGATATATAATATGAAGGGTTATCCCAGTTTTTGCTACCATTTATATGCGATAAAAATGCATACAAGTATAACAAAGCCGCAGGAAAAATGCAAAGTTATGGACACCAAATATCCAAGATCTATGCTTAGGGCATCCGAGACGAGTTGTAATGAATGGTGAGCAAAAATGAAACACTAAAAGTAAGGACCGTATAAGAATGGGAAAACCGGCTGTGTGTAAAAGTTATTATCTAAACGATTCATCTATCCTCCCACCACCTTTCACAAATGATCAGTAGCAATAGCAGTTAGCAGTTATTTACCGAATACCGTTACTTCATCAGACCATCGAGACACCGTCATGACATCACCCACATGATCATCCATGGCCGAGCATCAACCTTCGACCAATTACGGAAGCTAGAACCTTTCTGAGCGTATCTCAACCTCGACCATCTTTAGCTGTAGTTAAACTAGATAGTGTTTTTACTAACTCGGATAATTTTAGCCCATGGTTAATTCTTGGTCAGAAACATTGACTTCATTAAGAGCAAGTTATGAAATACTATAGCTGGTACGGGTCAATATATTTTGCAATTGGCCATAGAGCTAAACTGTTAACGACTTTGTTTTTATGCTCAGTTTACTGTTTCGAGTATCTTTACCTTCTATACAATAGAAGCAAATGTTTGTATAATCATTTTGGTATCTATCTCATTGTATACGTATGAAAACATATGCTGAGACTCTTTGTTACTTTGCTGTTTTTCTACGTACGCTGTCTCTATATGCCTGTTTCATTGCCTGCATATATAGATATACACGTATTTATCGGTGTGAAGACAAGCTAATAATGATGATGATCATAACGTGATTAAAAGTATTATTAAACAAGAATGTAATAATGCAATGTCAATGTCTCGATTAGGCCATATCGTAACTAGAAAATCGAGGCTTAGACAGGTACAACCTGGGAGAACTTGCTACATGGTGACGGTTGCGTAGACAAAACGAGGACGCAACAAGCTTCGTGCTGTGTTTTTCTGTGGTCGCTCATGTCTCTGAAAGTCAACAGACGCTATAGAGTAAATTACGGCAGCTTTAGAGACCTGAGGATATTTGTTAAACAGCCGCAGTGGCCGCTGATGTTAACTAGATGCAGAAAATTAGAAAATATATATAAAAAATGGTGCGACAACGACGACTGGCTGCAATTTTAGGGGTCCACAGTAGTACCATAGCAAATAGAAAGGAAATAATAGTAATAAATTGTTGATGGTTCGTTGGGAAACTGCACCGGCCTACCGGCAGTTCGATCGCCGCTGGTGGTCGATTTGGCCGAACGAAAAATCGCGCTAGTCAAATTGACTGAAACCCAACGGGAATCTCTCACACCTCGCTGCTGAACCGGCCATTTCGACCAGTCATCTAGCCGGCTCGACCGTGTTCATGATGATGATCGTGGACCGCCACCTACGTTATGATGATGTCCATCTTTATAGCACCACATGACTGGATCAGACCTTCTGTATTGCGTTTCCCAGAAACAGCGACAGCGCGATCGAGCGCATTCGTTCATTCATTCGTTCCATAGAGTGTGAGTACGGTACAACTGCTGCCTGGTCTGCAGCCGTAGTATGTAGAACGGGTCAGAGCGGCTCACAGTTTCGGATAAGAGACAAACAGACAGACACACAGACAGACAGATAGATAGATTAGATAGATAGATAGATAGATGCAGATAGATATATATAGATAGATAGATAGATGCAGATAGACATAGATAGGTAGATACAGATAGATACAGATAGATAGATTAGATATATTAGATAGATTAGATAGATAGATAGATATATACAGATAGATATAGATAGACAGATAGATTAGATAGATAGATATATACAGATAGATATAGATAGATAGATTAGATAGATAGATATATACAGATAGATATAGATAGATAGATTAGATAGATAGATACAAGATATAGATAGATAGATAGATGGATGAACACACGGATTGACAGACAGACAGATAGATAGGGAATGACAAAGGAGAGCGGGGAAGGAGCCAATTCGCTATTGTGCGCGCTAATTCGAACGTTTCGGGACCTGCTGCTAGCTTGCTAGGGTCTGTTTGTCTGTGAGTGCGACGCATGCGCCTATGTCATCTCTGTCCCTTACATCACAAAACAAAAATAAACAAGCGGACGTTCGCCAAAAACCTCCACCGTTATAAACCTTTGTGCCTGTCTATTCTCTTGTTTTAGCGTTTATAATCATCTAGCTAAATAGCAGGTAAGCTTTAATTTCCATCACGTGCTTTCAATTCCAGCTTACATATGCCATCAGCTTTTTACATATGGCCTAACATTATGAATCACGTTAGCACGTTCCCCGTGAAAACTTTAGCTTACTCACTGGCCAAAGCTACCGAAGGACCCTGGCAGACACGTGATCTTTCCTTTTGTTTCTATACCACGCTTGCTTTTTTCTCGATCTCATCGATCGGCACAGCTGCTTTTAGCCCTAACAGTGTACCCGCCACATATAGCCCCCATTCCCTCACTGCTTTATTCTGCCAGCCAACAAAACGACCTTGTCCAAAATTAACCTAATTATCAAAGATTACAACATAACACTCGCTCATCTATCTCCAACTGCCTCATATTTCGGCTTCAAGCAGAAAGGTGGTTCCATCAGGTTTTCTTTGTCCAAGGCACCCCTGTATTATATATAGTGAATTTTTAGGCGTAACGTAGCTCTTGAGCTGACCTACGAATAATGACTCACGTGGCTCTCTCCAGATTTTTGCTGCATTTTTATTTGAAGCTTATCAGTTAAACAATGCGCTCGCTGGTAGAAATAAATTTAGATAAAGTGTACTGTATGTTATGAAGCAGAATGTCTTTCTAGGTAGTGATTCCCTCGAGGCCTGCTGTAGTATAAGGTAATATATAAGCTTTATTGGACATGCTAGGTGCATTGTTGTTTTTTGGCATTTAATACTCCTTTAATTTTTTATATACTATATTGTCAGTTAAACCGCTCGCATTGTTCCAATTTCTGTATCATGCATTTGACTTGTCCATCAGCTTTACATTAGTTTGAAATAGGTGAATACTAGAGGTGATTTGGCTATCTGCCTTATTTCTTTGACTTGTATCTGCTCTTTACATAACCCGATCCCGCATGTTAACTTTTCCTACAAACACATAAAAAAAAAAAACACACACACTTTTAGTCTATGACGGTCCGAATGTCAGCCCTTACAAAGTTCGTATAAACCAACCAAGATACGTTTGGGGACTGCTAGTTTAGGTCTATGTATATTGCCTAAGGTATTTGGCTCGAAAAGACCTCAATGAAATACTCTCATACGTATTATCTACGACTTCGTGCGTTGTTACATCCTGTCGAACATAATCCTCCAATTGAGTTATTGATATTAGGCAGCATACTTAAAGTACTATCGGATGCAGTTGACAAACCTTACTTTGACAATGCGCGTTATTTCTTAAATGTGCTTTACGTTAATAGAATGAGACAATGCACTATCTAGATTCCCACCTCAATAAATATATCTAGTTCAACGAGATTCAATGTTCTACTCAACAATTACTTTCGCAAAACTAGCACCTCTGGTCACATCAGTAACCCAAATTGCTAGCCGTTAAGGACTTCAATTAGTCATGTTTAATTATGTAAAGTCGCTCGCAACATTCGGACCTCATTGACTCTGATTTATTGAAGAAAAATAGATGCACACTCTTTCCCGTTCGGTTGCCCGTATTATTCGGAGTGATCTTCGAGCCGTCATCATAATCAGCACTTCGTTCGCCTTCGTCCACCTTTATTTACAGATCTGCTGAAACCTCCCAGGCAAACCCGCGCTCCGCGGTGTTCAGCCGATCTTCGACAAGTGCTTTCGTTTGACTGTGCTCCCCCGAATAGGCTGGGCAATGCTCCGGTCGCGGCCCAAGTTCCGCAGTACCTGTCGTTGGCCAACAGCCCCTTCGGACCGGAGAGTCGACCACTATTCGCTCACAAAAACGCGACGACGTCACAGAATTCTATGGCAGCTGAAGTCTACTTAGCAGAGGGTGGAGGGGTGACTAGGTTCAAGATCACTGATCGCTCCCGGACAGTATCAGGAGAAGGGGTGTCAGTCGGGACACCTCGCGACCCTCTTCCGGGGACAACGCTCGATGGAAGTCATAATTCAGACCGAGATGTCACCGAACAAAGGCGACTCTCAAGTGCCGGAAAGAGTGATTCGACGGAAAGCCGATCATTAAAAACGCCCAGTCCCGCACATCGGCACCATCACAGGTAAAAGCACGGTAGGATGCAAACTGACACTACTTCACAAAATTTAGCCTTAATTAAAAAAGACATCATAAAAGTAAATAAAAATAACGCTCTTTTTTTTTTTTTTAATATTTTAGTATATCTGATAAGTAGGCATCTAAAGATTCATATTATAATTATTAAGAAAAAGAAAGCTGGTGTTTTTCGAGAACTGGCACTTGGAACTTGCGCGTAAATTGCTTCTAATGCAGTAAGGCATTATGACTCCTACAACAAAGTAGCCTATTGAAAAGAATTTAAAACGCCAAAAATCATATTTTTATCCTATGGTACTATACCCGGGTTCTTCGTGTCATCTACTTTGTTAGTTAACTAAATGCAAAAATATTACCAACGTTTTGTTTGACACACTTCAGATCATAGTGTGCTCTTCGTCTATGTGTTCTGCGAGGTCCTCTACAATGGTTACTGAATTAAAAACCATGTGGTCTAAGAGCGGACATGTGTAATAAGACTGTGTATATTGCCTCGTACGTATTTGATCTGCGACTACATTAAAAAGAAATTCTCTGTTGAACATGAATTAATCTAAGTTTTCCTGGTCGGTCTAGTTCTTCGCTTGCTCATGCTTCTCATTTGTTAATTATACACCAGTCAGGAATAATGAACACTCTATGTTGCTCGAAGCACTACAATGTTCCATGCAATCGAGTAGTCTCTGAAACCCAATCACTACTATTTTGTCCTTAACTAAATACGCGCTTGCATCTATTTCGACGACTATCCATCGCTTCGGCAAATGTGACTAGACAGAAAGAATCTGATGTATTCCCTTTCTAATCTAGACCTTCGAACAAAATAGGCTGATGTTGTTACCTCGGAGCTAAAGCAACGCAAAACGAACGGCCGCAGGCTCGACGAACTCTGAACTCGAGCCCAAAAGTCGAGCTACGACCATCAAATTGTCTAATAGAACCATACACGACATCAGCTCTCAAGTAATGCTTTTGATGGGATTCTTAAATATGTTTTAACGTGGTAAAGTCAAAATACTATAATAATTTATAATTTACGCTCTACAGAACAGGATTGAGAAACAGGTAAGTTAACCTTGTTCACCCGACCTTGTAGGACATCGCGTCAGAATACTGGCAGACCTTCGTTGCAACGTTTCCTGCCTTGCGGGTCGGGCCTTGCATTATCAACTAAATAGTTAAGTTGACTTAAGGTAGTTGAACGTCTACAAAACGTACAGCCATACAAGCGGCCCTTTCATAGCTTTCCCCGTAGAGAGAATATAACTACGGTGAAAACCGAAACCGATTGGTCGATATCGTAGCGTAGCTATAATATATGAGTCTTTCGGGCATGGTGGAGTTTTGCAGCCGTATGTTTTAACCAAGCCGTTACACCGTGAATATAATAGACAATGTGGGAAAAATAGTGTAGTTTCTCGAAAACCGATTATATAACAGCGACGTTAAAGTATTTCTCATAAATGAAACACATTTCTAACGAGGACCTTTTGACAGGCTCAGATTAAGCCTTCAGGAATAAAAGGTTGTGAATTAGGGTGCTGCGCACAAAACGGCATGCTTTTCAATAGCTGATTTATCATTTACAGATGTTTCAACAATGTATAGCGTTCATTCTGTTATTTATGGTATTCATTTTTGGGTTATCATCGATATAACCATTATCGAAAATTGTCAGTGATCTTCAGTTCTCCTTTTTGCCCGTCCATTGCCTGAGAGCAATATTTAACACTGGTTCAAACGTTATTCAAAACAGAAATTAACGAATGTACCAGCTGAAGAGACTTTTTGATAATTTTTCGTTTGGTTTGATCTTTGAACTTGTCAAAACCAGGATATCCATAAGTTAGATAGGCAACAATGCCTACTAACATATATCTGAACCTAAGACTATAAACTTATTCTAAGTTTATAATATATATGTAAAAAGAATTTAAAAAATGTTACGGAAGTTCCAGCTGTTCTAGCACTTGCTATAACTTGATTTAGATCTGTAGATCGATATAAATACATTTTTTTGCTATTGGCAGTTAACTAAATGACTTCCAACAGTTCCAGCGTAGTTCCTTAGCTATGGCCGATATAGAGGCCTCTTTGCGCTAGTTCGAAACGTTCGTCGGAGTTCTGGATATTCCTCGATTCGTGTTCGAAAACACTGAGGGATATTCAGCCTGTTTTATTTCAAAGATAAATTCCATATTCATAGTCATTCTACCGTTAATTGTAATGATAATGCGAATAAACGCCATCGCCTTTTTTGTTCTGACCGCGTAATACCTTTATCTGTTCGTTGTGTGTCATAGACATCACCACCACCATCATCATCGACACGGCTTAGGTCCCGAACGTCGCCGTCTATCGTCTGCTAACCAAGGGATTCTTGCTGGTTCGGGAGCTGCCCATCGGTCAGAACTCCAGCGTTTAATGACGATTGCCGTTGATTCGGGCCTTATTTCGCCACCGGACAGTTCGCCGCTTATGTCGCCAGCTAATGAGAGTCCCAGCTCGCCAACGTTACCATCACAGCCATCCATTACTATGAAGCGGTTTCCGTTTGTGAGGCAAAAAGCCACCGCAGAGGAAAGTGGTAATATGGCTACGTCTTCATTATCGCACTCGTCGACAGCGCCCGCGGCCTCGATAGCTAAGGCGACCCCAATGGGAGCAGAAGTAGCAGACAATAGAAATGAGGTTGGCTCGTCAAATATTGGTAGCACCGCGAGTACAGGAAGCCACGATACTCCAATCGTTTGAAATAACGATAACAGTAGCGATCCAGAAGGCTCCGGACAATTGTCCAAATAATACGTAATCATATCATGCATCGTGTCGCATTCGTTTCCTTACAACGTCGAGCTGTCCAATCAATTAGCACTATAGCTGCAAGTATACTTAGTAATTATTAAGTCTCGATGACTTGGAGTTCGCCTCGGCAAGGAGATTTAGGGAAAAAAAAAATTAAAAAAAAAGATAAAAAAATTTCGCGCGAACTCTTTTCAACGAGCACTAATATTAACGCTATACTACGAGCTGCCAAAGCAGACGTACAGCGCGAGATGGAAACGGAGATCCATCGGTGTACACTTAAACGAAATAGAACCTTGTTGGCCTGTGAGTTGTTCAATGTAGAATCTGCATGAAATGAAAAAGCTCGCAAAAGGTACACCGTAGTTTCTCATGAGGTATTAATAATAGTTATTAATTTATTGTGATAATATCAGAGAAAAATGAACCTTTCATACGATATGACGAAACAACAAAAACCGTGTAGATTTCAAAAAATCTAACCGAAACGTTCAGGCAGAAAAAGGTGAAAGCACACCCAACTATTACGTCATTATCATTGCACACAGTGCCAGAATGTCCATTCAATGAACGCCAAGTGGGTATACATATACTTCGCGAGGTCGATGCGTGTTGCACTATCCAGCAACTGTGGTGGCATCGTTCCTCGGTCTTCTATTTGTCATCGCGGTGCTCCGTATCTGCGATACTGTTCAATTTTGAAGCGTAAAATAAACATAAATCACACATTTCTGTTATATAATGAGCCATATATTAAACACAGGGCTTGATACCTGACGAGTTGACCCAATGAGAAGGATTGATTGTATCAGTTTAACTAAACTGATAATACGTGCAATACGTCCTACCAGATTTTTGCCTCTTTGTTAGTGTTTTATCATATGATTTTTTGAGGAATCGCATTAGATACACCTTTAATTTTGCGCCTTTCAACGCCTATCGTTCGGAACGGGTACACTATAGATTGTAAAAAAAAAAAAAAAATAGAGGAAAAACCCTGTGGTTGCGGCCTGACATTATCAAAGTGTGAATTACAGCATTGTCCCTCAACAACCGCGTGTTTGTTAGTGAAATGACCATCATCATTATATGGATACATATATGTCTTAGTTAAAATAGAAAACAACACTTCTACTATTAGAATGATTATGATCGCTATGTACTATTGGTTATTAATTATGACGAATGATCAGTACAAGAGCTGATATACGGTGAGTACGCAACACCTGCCGACACTCCCTATGTAAACTTGAACTTCACAATTATGTCAATATTATGCGTACGTATATGTATGAACGTGATAGGTCTCTCTGACCACGAGAATGACGTGCCAAAAAAACTACTTGCTTTTTTCATTTCAGCCAAAGATAGTGGAATACCGTTCCTTCGGCTGAAAACCTGGCTAAAACTGGGCTCGTTTCCGCAGAAAAAAAGTTGGGCATCCCAGATTCATTCAGTTCTGTAACTCACTCAGATACGTCATGATAAAGTCAGAATCAGCCATGTGGATAGACCTCAGTCCGCTATCGAAATCTGCCATATACATGTTTCCGTCCGTCCGATACGCCGAACGAAGAGATTCATATACCCTGCATTAGCCATTAATTTCCTATGCAATACGAAAAAAAAAACTCGCATAAAAACTCTATAAACAACGTGTTGTTCTAAGCTGACTCACACAAAAAAAACATTTAACGGCAGCACAATTTCAGATACAGTGACATGGTACCAACAATACTCTTCTTGATTTAGACAAGTTTTGTGAGTGTCCGTGTACATATGATACAGACCTTTATAGTGTTTAACACCTTCAAATTATAGGGAGAGCATCTTAAAACTAATCCACCAATTTCAAGGTGCTCAACACGAAAACGACGATGCTTTATCTGACTGACTCTATTAGACAGCGAAATGAACTGCGAGATGGGCAAGCCGTGACTCATTTGGATAATCAAGATACGTGGTACAAATATGCGCGAATCTCTTCGTTCGCGGTGGGATCACTAGCCAAGTCTATATCGTCCTTTTTCCACGACCCAAAAAAAGCATCATATATTTTACCTATTTTCCATTCCTTCCGCTTCACCTGCTCAAGCCATTGTCACATGTCGCTTGATAGTAGTGGATGGGACCAAAAAATAGTCATATGGTAAATCGTGTCCATTTGGGCACAGCTAAGACTTGAAACATTTGCGTCTACGAATGATCTGGAAAGAATTTCTAGAATTACGAAAACTTTCATCTAGGCTCGTGCCTGTCACATATCCTCCGTCATTGGCTGGCCACTTCCAACATTCATACATCTGTATAAATCACACAACAGACAGCGCACTAATCAAACCAAGACCCCGACCTTCCTGGAAAAACGAGGTCTCATTAGAATACCGTCGACAGTTCAACATTACCAGCCATGTTACACTATATCATACAACCAATGTATAAGGTCAGTGTACATAGGGACTGAATACAGCGCAGGTTTCGAGAAAATATGCGAGCCGTTATTGGTAATGATGATGATGATGATGATAGATAGATAGATAGATAGGAACAAAGATCATGAGCTAATAGCCCTTAACTATTCAGCTGCCCAAATACAGCATGAACAACTTTGCCCACCTTCCCAGAAGCCGTTTTTCTATGGACCGACCAACAGATATGATCCTATACGATAATGGTAACCCAGTGCAATGTCCTATGTCGACAGATGATCTGGATACATGGATTTTTTTTACCCCACCTTTGTGTACCTACTGACTTAACCAATAGTATTAAAGACCAATGAATAAGCGGGATCTCAACACTAAGTCAGGACATTTCGAGTTGTTCAAATTTTGATTAGCGACGATACGTTTATGCGATACGTTCTGCGTTCGATTATTTTTATAGCGCGATGCTTCAGAGCGAACCTTAGACCGCGATGAGCTTACACATTTCCGAATGAGAAAATGAAACTATAAGCTTGTAGGTTTCTAATGTTTTCTTGTACACGAGGCCAGTTCTAGCAGAGAGAAAACGGGCGATAGGACCTAACCTGGATATTGATACTATTTGTTCCGTTACAGCTCAAGTTTACTGAGGGGGCTCGTCAGTTTGCCAGATAATTTTACAAATACGCAGTACGTTTGCCAAAGCAGGGTCCCATTTATTTAGCCCCGTAGCATAGCTAACGTGAGGAGCTACCCGATACAAGTATTTGAGTCCCTTCTTGAATAAGACAAACACCCATGTTTCCTGGCCCCAGCACCGGTTATCTGGATGCCCTTAATTTAACAACGTACAACGAGCATTGAGTTCGTGGCGAACAGATAATAAAAGATAGAATTTTTATAGCCGGATCTTTGAAGTCTCGTAGTGTGCACTAGTGTAAATTTCATCTGTGTCTAACAAAATTCAAGCCTACAACGGCACATGCGCTTTTTATAAGCTTCATTATAAGTTTTTATAAGCTTGCATTTGTCGTTATACTTACAAGGTATCGACAACTCAAATGAGCATCGTTCTATCAATTCGGAAGGGAGCGCTTACGGCTTATTTTAAAACTAGCCTAAAAACTCGCTCGTCCACGTAGAATCTATATAAAGTATATCCAGTTAGCAAAAACGCCACTCGTTGTACGTAAGTTTGTCTGGATAGAAGACATTCGGGTAACTGTCTGCGTACTAATGTTACATTTGTAGAAACAAAGAAAGACAAACAGTTCAAGCACAAATTTGAGTAAGCTTTGAAGTATGAATAATATGCATAGATGTATAAATCGACTTGATGACGATTCTGGCGTGAAAGAAGTGATGTATTAATGACGGATATATAGACGCAGAACCACAGCGTACTTTTTTGCCTGCGTACACATAAATCAGTAAACAATATGAAAGCATATCAAGTCGTATGAACAAAAATAACATTATACTGATATAATAAATATAATAAATTTAGACAATTTACAACTAAACACGCACGGTGTCCTTGGCGTTCACGGCGAGTAAATAGTTAACTATCTATATAGTGATTCTTCTTGATTACGATCACGCAACAACGTATCTTTACGGGTAAGTTACCTGGAGGCTGAAGGTCCTCTGGCCCTAATTTTGCCCCTATAGGGCTCACAGCAAAGTGACAACTTGGTTAACTTTCACTTCATCTTTACATGCATATTCTTTTTCTAACTGTCACTGTTTTATGATACAAAATAGCCAACCTAGCGTTGGATCGAGCACGTATAATACAGCGTTTGGATGTTCAAGGTCGTCGGCGTAAAAAGCCTTTAGCTGCAGATCTATTGTCTTGGCGACAGTTAGTAAATACGAAGCACAACACACTAAATTTGCTTCTAATGTACTACCATCCGTATTCTGGACAAATCAATTAAACACGCTTTTTAAAAAATTGAGGTTAGTTCAAACATTTTGTTGTTTGTGAGAGTCAGCCTTCACACGTGTTGTGAGCGAAGTTCTTAGATGTTATGGCAGGATACTTTCTGACTGCAACCTGAGAGCTCGACATCTTTCTCCTTCCGTAATCTCTTCTAAGTGAGATTTTGCGTTCTTGTTGGCCATTTTCGTTCGTGTAGATGTCCCAGTCCTCTCGAGCCGGCCGCTGAAAATGTGGGTGCATGTAAGTAGATGAAAGAAAAGCAAGTTACGCTTACCCGAAGATCACCGCACGAAAATGTAACAGAAAGGCTTGATTTTATCATAAATGAAAGTGTATTGGATTTAGGGATTATGCAATGGTTCCTATCTTTACGGTGCCGCTGTCGTCTTTTCGTTTCCATAGTTTTCACAATCACTGTTTTAAACATTTATCAAGTACATAACATAACGTTTGGAGTGTTTAGTTTACTAAACGATATATTATACTTTGTAGGATGTAATTTGCCAACGATGATTGCTGTCAACACAATGATTTCGTCAGAAATGCACGAAGGTTCTTGTCTCCTCATTTTAAAAACAGAGCGTAGTTTAACATTTGATTAAGAGTCATGAAAAGCTTCGGCTCCTATTAGTAGAATCAATGAATTTCGTTTAAATACGCTTGTTTGTTTGTTTGTTTGTTTGTTCGTTCGTCCGTCATGAATAATACTCAGTGGTTGAATTCAATAGACATAGTTTACGTGATGGTCCTCACCGCTTCCAAAATGACATCGTAAACACGGATTTTGGAGTTGTTGTTGTTGTTGTTGTCGACTTGAGCGGCGAGTTGGAATAGCTTTCTCTAGATCGGCGTTTTTGCCCTTACGTGCCTCAGCCAACCAAGGTCAGGTGAAAGGTGGCGCCAACGAGGGCCAGAGTTGATACAATGAAGAACCTGCGCATTATGCCGAACTAGCACAGTCAAGCTGATACATGTGAAAAAGGTAGTAATCAATATAATGAAATGTGTTTTTGTATAGATCTATTATCAGTTCAAAACAAACCATTCACATAGAGGAAATGACACGTATCCATTGAAAACTATGCTATACACAGAACAGTGTAGGACATAAAGGTACTTCCCCTTGACATCTCCTGACATTTGCCAAAAAATAATTTCACATAATTTATGGCACGAGGCTATAATGAGAAAGTTATTGCAATTAAGGGCGAACTTATCAATTGTAGATTGTTACCAGTTGTTCGATTCTTGCATAGTCGCTCTGTGACGAGGATCGCTTAGACTATTATAAGCCCCCCTCTGAAAAGGTATTGCCACTAACGTGGTAGACGTATATACATATGCCTACAACGTTACGATGTGGCAGATGTTGCAGTCGGGGCACATTAGCAAAATATTCCGGTGGGCGGCTGAAATAGCGCAAGGTTTTCTAAGAGATGCATCCCTCTGATGAGGGTTCGTTTAAGGATGACTTTGTTCAAGGGAAGAATTGTAGAGGTAGAATTATCTAATTGACCTATGGTGTATCTATCGCAACCGTCAAAGAAAACATTTGTAGTGACTTGAAATAAAAATAGAGCGACACAGTACCCATGATAATTTCGAATGAGTAAACTAATACGTGTAACGTATGACGTTTTCTATCCGGACGAGGTATTAATCAACGGGCGCTGTTAGAGTGGTAAACGAATTTGTTCTGGTGTCTCTGCTAAGTAGACCTTGTTCGCTCTTGGGCTGGTCCGCATTACTTACTATGGACTTTATATAACATATCCTTTGAGCAATTGTAATTAACAATACTCCATTATAGAAGGGAAACTTTTAAGAGATATATATATTGAACTTTAGAATGAGAACGCAATCGTTCTATGATGCATACATGCAAATAGAGATGAGCTAGCGTTTGCCAACGATTTCCGCAACCAATGCGAAATAGAATTAGGAGAAATGTTGTAAGCACAATTTCTCGCCCCGGTGGCATACTTTGTAGTTACTCTAGCTGGTACATCCAAACTCAACGTATTGTAGAAAGTTTCGGTACGAAAGGTACCACGAATTAAATCTAGATACGCTATGTAAAGAAAACATGTGTATTTAACACTTTGAAGAAGGAGAAACGAAAGTGTAACATAACTAAGACATAATATCTTACTTACCTTTTCGAAGGACCGTAGAACAAAGGTGTCCGTAGACTAGCAACACATCAAGCCACTACACGGGAGAGTTAAACAAAGGCGCATTTTTTCCTCTTCGGGTAGATTGAAAACAAAAAGAAATGAGCTAGTCTAGAATAAGGGTAGGCACCCTTGAGATAACCACCTCTACCATTCCTTGGCGTACACACAACTACTTCATCCGCTATGGCGTGAAAGAAGATGCGGTTTCGAGTAATCCTTATCTTACGTTATATCTATCTAGACAAACGTTGCTTTTTATTTCTTCAGTATATGAATGTACCAATCGTCCAGGCCAGTAGTAAATATACGTGAAATTCCGTCAAAAAAAATTGAATTTAAGAAATGAGAAAGCACATCAGTGTGACCTTCGTCTGCTGCGTTCTTTGAGCAGATTTCCCATGAGTCGAATTTTCGTGGAAGCGTATTAAGCGGATCCAACCAAAACGGTATCTATCATGTACATTTGCTAGATTGCTCATCATGACACGTAAAAGCTTCGTGAAAAAGACAAAATCATACGCGCTTAACTAGTTACAGAAGTGACGTACACGTCTATTTATTGCAGGGCAGGTAGTAATACCTAGTTGAATCGTTATTTCGTAAACATTCTGTGGCAGCAGAAACGGGCTTCGATACATCGCTTAGGTGCACAGATACCAAATACATAATACGTTGATTTTGTCATGTATTTCTTGTAAGTTTTCTATAAGAGAAAAAAACAAAAAAAAAACTATCGAGAACGATTTTCACATTAGCGAATGTATTGCAATGCACGTATTGTTGTTACTGCAAATACGTATGCCTCTTATAAGCATTATAGTAACCTATTTTTTTTTCAGTTTTATTTTACTTTAAACACTCCGTAGGTTACGTACTACTGCGCTAACCGGTTTGTGACATAATTTGTTAGGTCGAGTTAATGATTTTCAATTGAGTACAGGGAAAATTACGATGTGTGATGGTAATGAAGATTATTCGTACAGTCTAGTCATAATGCTTTCTCTCTTGTGCCACGTACGGCATAGTCAGCCTATGTGAGACTTCGCAGCGCTCTTGCCTTTGTTACGCTTAGCGGAGTTTTCGTCTACTCGATGAATCAATTTTTACTAGCCTGCGAATACCACATGTTCATAGGTTTAAAAAAAAAAGAAGACAAAACAAAAAAACAAGTATGATCACTTGGTGCGTTAAACGAATTTCTAAACTACTTCTGTCTTCCATACACATTGCGGCATCATGCCTGCCTCTTACCATTAAAGATTAACTTCAGCAGTATTTGTCTCCGACTGAAGGACAACAGCCGCCGAAGACGAACTCCCTCGAAGGAACGAAGATCCTCCCAAACAAAAAGTTCATGTCGAAGCTAGTGAGCAGCGATACTGGCTTTCGACTGTGAAGAACTACTGGCAAATTTGTTGGAGAGGCGATGATATAACGTATTGATCAAATCGTTATGATCTCGTCTGCGACTAACGTTAATTTTGTCATGTTGGTGACTTGATCTCTTCCCTAAAGATCGGTCAAGCATCCATTGGTGGCCGGAGGTTGTTTTTGTGTTAACTCCTCTAGCCTCCTTGGGCAGTTCGATTGCAATACCGAGTTGACGACCCCGTTTCGACATAGTTTACCAGATGAATTAGGATTTTTCTACAACAGCATTGCGTAAACTAACAAAGTATTTACGAACCGATTTTTCTGCTAAAAGATTAAACGTGTACGTTGTTTGATAACGGTTTAGGTAGTCTTTGATGTTACGGTCGCTTCATTCTTCTCTTGCTTGCACCAGTGTTGTTAGTAACTGGCAACCCCAACGTTGGTAGGATCGAGCGAGCGGTTGTAGCATTGTTGGAAACAGACAAAGCAGTGAAAAGGCAAATCGCTATATTAAAGACCCTAGAAGGTCACAGGTAGAGCTCTGATTTCATCATCGGAACGAATCAGAAGAATTTTATCCAATGCTCGCTTAAAAAAAACGCGTCGACGCTTTACCGTATACGAGTAACAGCGGTTCCGCAAACTAACCAAAAATTACCTAAAAATGTATCTAAATTCTCCTCAAAATGGCAAATCGTATCAAACCGGACTTACATGCTGTCGAAACTTAAACGATACCCTGTAACTTCTTTGACAACTTCTGGTACCTGAATTTTTTTCCAAATACCAAAATTTCTCAGTAGGGCTTTCTCGATCAGCCCAGTTTGGTTTGCAGCCACACTACAGGTTATTGATTTAAGTTAGCAGACCGTTACTCGATCGATTGTGCGATATAACACATGTTTATACTTCAGCAGGTAATATAATGCCTATACTTAGTAAAAAAAAAAAACATTAATTCAAAAGATGAATATTGTTATTATTTGCTCGTTCGTGCTTAGTTCTCTCAGCAGCGCTGGTGTAAACGCAGTCAGTTCTGCTCCCTCTATAGTACGATCGCTAATTGTTGCGGTTCTCCCACACTGCAGCACCTCCCTAGTTGGAAAAATCGATCTTAATAGTCATATGCTCATTACCTATAATGAAATTATCTATATTATCTTATTTTCGTATTTATAATAACGCTACTGTATTGTTTTCCCATTCAAACGGAACGTGTTTTGCATAACTGGCTATCGGTATATCGTCGGTATATGTCGCTTAATTACGGAATGCTCAGCTCGTGACGCTATATATAATATTCGTTAGTAGATCTGTTTCTTGTGTCCCTGAGACATTTCCATGCGTTACATAGCCCGTTACGTCGACTACAATGCGCCTACGATGCCACAGACGCTACAATGTATTGCACCAGCAAAGTCGAGATAGATACAGCATGAGTGAAATACGCTATTGAAGAAGTAGGATGATGTTGAATAGGAACTATCAAAACAAGCACGTATTACCGTAAAGCACATGCATCCATAAATACGTGTTTTTGTTTATGTGTATAGCTTAAAAAGGGAACAGATTTGGCCTACTCTATTATTTTATCGTAGTGGTATTCTAAAAGCGAAGATCTAACATAGCTCTTAGCTAGCAAGTATGATACGTCATGGATTACGGTTGACGTGTGAAGGCTACCTACGACATCGAACAGCTCCGTTGCGACATTAGAATTATTCCAGAATGACTTTGGATAACTGAAGCAGTTTAGTGACGCACTACTATTCCGCGCGTTCATATATTTACTTGGCACAAATCATTGCTTTTTGTTGCTATAAATATGGCATCATTTCAGATCCCTTCAATGTTACAAAGAACCGTGGCGCAATAATGTTATTAGTTAATTGGCGTACACTGGAGGCTTTGGATCATTGGCCTCGTAGAGACGTACATGATCTAATATTTATGTCCTCTACTCGTTTTTCTAGTTTATGATTAAAATCCGGAAAATTATTTAGTAACGGCGGGGCAACACACAAGGCTCTACTTTCACGACGTTCGTTCCACAAACTGTCCAACCAAAGTATTGTCTGGAGCTGTCTTAAGCTGTGTATTGCTGGATGTTTTTTGTGTTTTATAAAGCTTTAGAGTAAAGTGCCCACTACTTCATTTATCACTGGTGTATGTTTCGGACCTATCGCAATAAATGTGTGAACCCAGGAATTAAACGAGTACTGGTTTTTATCGAGAGATTAAAGAAATTAATTAATGGCATGATTTTTGTAAGGTGCTTGCGTACTTGATGGGTATATTTAGTTACCTGTGGAAAATACTCTTCTAATACAGATAAATAGTGGCACTGAACGAGCTTTCAAAATGAGCCGTAAAACTATATTTGTCGTTTCATATATAATACAAAAACCGTAGCTATAGTTATTTTCGATTCGAATTTTCCCGCCTTTAGGATGTGATTTCACTTTGATACTCTAACAATACGTTCCTAATATCTTAAGCCAAGAGATCAAATACGGATAGATCAAGCTGCGCCACCACTAACTGTTCGCGTGTTGTTATTGTCGTTGAAGTTTTCTGTATTTGTTTTCTGTTCATGTTGATGACTTTCGATTCTGGGCCACTTCTCCCTTCTGGACTTGTAATGCGTCCTTCGTTGTCTTCACATATGATCATCGTCTTATCGCGTTCAATTCCCCTCCATCTTTCTGTTATACCTGTGCGAACTTGTACAAAACGCCAATCCACTTCGGCACAGAGAGAAAGCACATGAAATAGACTAACATTAAATGATCGCCTCGAGTGACAGATGGTCTTCGGTACTCACACACTATCACATAACGAAAGGCACATGCTAATTTTCCACTGCCCAAGGTATCCACAGGTGTTGATACGATTATTAGCTCAGGTCATTGCGCCCGGAGCCGGATCTCGAAGCTTCTTTTATTTTCCATTGCCGCACAATTTGCTGGAAGTGGTAGCCAGTCTCGTGATCGGTCAGTGACTGTTAGGGTTTTTTATTTGTTCATCGCTTAGACCATCGAATCGATCGTCACTCGATTTGGCCACTACGGAGGCTAGATAGTGATCGTGGATCGCCGGAAGGCCGGGCGTCTCGTTGGCCCGCGTGCCTACGTTCGGCTCCGGCGGTGAACAAGGTCGAAGTAAGGAATTCTGTTACATCGGTAGCAAATTTAAGCGGTATTCGCATACTGATTTGATCTGGCTTTTTATTACCGGTGGGGTAACAGCCATCACATCGCTCCCACTTCGGCCCGCAAAAACAAGATGCCCAGGGAGGGGCATTGGGGTGTTCGATGATGCAGGTGAATACTGGAAGCACAGTGTGGTCGCTGTTAGCCAAAGCGGGAAGATACAGAATGCACTGCTTGCCTATATGCAACTCAGTGTTTACGAACTGTCTACGGCTGACGCGCTGGATGGGATGCTCCGGAAGAGAGTGACGCCGCCGAAATGTCTCAAGGCCACTGGCGGACTGTAGGGACGGGAAGATAAAAGCGAAGATTAAACAGAAGCTGAAGAGGGTTACGATGTGCGCTGAAGAAAAAGGGTGGTGACGGTAGCAGCGGTCGCGCCACATGGTGGAGGGCGGCTGCAAAGCCGGCACTGGAGTAATACACTGCGGTTTGTTGACTGGATGGAAACGGTGCCGAACCGAAGGGAGGTCTACCCTCTCGGCACTACTCGTCACTGGGCTGGGCCTGCTGCCACTTACCGTTTGCACTATTTAAGCCAAAATCCGACACTGGCGAGTTTGTGTTCAACTTCCGATCACAGAAATAGCAAACAGCATGCGCGCCGTCGTAAGTATCTTACTTTTGAGCTAAAGTTTTGCGTTCAGATTATATTGATTGTGTTTGAATGATTAGACTTTTTGAGGACGCCGGTGTACTCGCTGTTTAATTGATAAAATACGGTTTAAGGTGATATTCATCTGGCGATTTTTAGATAACAAGTCCCTTTCTCGCTTAACCATCTTAATGTGAAGAAAGTAGAACGCTCACTTTAACTAGGAAATTTGAAATAGCTATCGTATGGTAACAGACATTAAAGGATGGTCCTGCTAGGCCTTGTGCGGCGATTAGCATTCACATTGTGCTCACAAAGTTGGCTTTATCCACACGATCTCTGGTCGAACATTTCTTATTCTGATTAGACAAGACACTTAACGCGAACCCTAGATTTTGTGTATGATCTTCCACTGAGCTCGCTTCTTAATTATCCTATTGCTTCTGCCTAGACTGTCATCGCTCTTGCCGCAGTCGCCTACCAGGCTTCCGCTGGCGTCGCCAGTTACTACGCTGCCCCTTATCACTATGCGAGCGCTCACTACGCGGCTCCTGTTTATCATCAGCCTGCGGTGGCCTACGTTGCTCCTGTAGTGAAGACTGCCCATGTCGCCTACGCTACTCCAGTCGTCAAGGCTGCACCAGTCGCTTACACTGCTCCCGTCCTTCGAGCTACTCCGGTCGCTGTGGCCGCACCTGTGGTTAAAACAGCTCCCGTTTCGACTTCATACACAACCTTCACAAAGACCGTTCATGCTCCCACTGTAGCGTACGCAGCGCCTGTTGCCAAGGTTGCTGCCCCTGTTGCTTATGCTGCACCCGCGCTGGGCTATGCCGCTCCGGTGGTCAAGTCATACGGACTTGCCCCTGCCTATTATGGCTACGGATACGGCGCCACCTACATCAAGAAGTAAACCGGAAATCCGGTTAATAAGCACTAGGCTTTCTTGCTTGTAAAAATACGGTCACACTCTCACATAGTGCCATTCATTGCGGAAGATAAGAAACAATAATAATAAAGCAATGACGAATTACCACCTTTGATCATAAAATGATTGTGTTATATTTTGTGTTTGAATGAGATATTGGCGTGGCAAGGCGTAGGTGGACTGTAAGGCATGAAATCATCACATTCGGTTTAAACGTCTTTTATTGATGAACGGTGACTTCATTGACTTAATCGCCTATTAGTGGTAAGCACAACGAACTGCTTCAGCTAGACATGTATCAAAATAATGGATTCCCAGCAAATTATCGTATGCTCGTGTCGGAAGTCTGTTATGCGCTAAAGACATCGGTCCCGATATTTCCAGGTACGAGTACCTGAATAGTCCGTTCGCCCCGATCCTCTGACAGCAAAGTAGCTATTTTCTTAAGGATGTTAAAGGCTAGTACATTATGAAGATCAGACTTCAATGCTAATGATGTGTCCGCCTGGTACCGTGGGGCTCTTACTCTTTTAAGCCTTAACTCCGTATACATGTTGAATCAAGATTTAAAACTATACCAAATATTACCTCAGACAAAGCTGGTGGATTTGTAACTTCATTAATCGCTACTCCCTATACCCTTCAGCCTAAGTCTTCACCTCACAGTTCCGCTGAGAAGTTATATATGACCATATAAATACGGATCAGAGCGCTGCTCTGTCGCACAGTCACGATTAGTCATGCGAAGTTTTTTTAATATTACCCGCTCTGATATTAATACATTTGTAACGAAGATCTATAATGATTAATGACCAAAATAAAAAGCAGCTTTCAAAACCAAACAGGCACTCCAGGCCGAGAGTCGGCCAAAAAATATAAGTGAAGACTGATGTAATTCTGCTGTACATAATCGTGATCATTAGCGATCGTTTCAGGTTTTTCGAAGGTATTCGAAATAAATACACGTTATACATTTGTAATAGATACGCTCTGTAAAATTAGAACATAATCGTATTAATAACCAGGATGAGCCTTGCCATACTGTGAGACTTGCTCACTTATTATTTGAGCAAACTGTGTAGAAATACATATGCCTACGGGCATTTTTATGAAGCAATATGCAGTGAATTTCTACAACTAAAGCTTCTCAAAAGTGCTCATCTGTGTACACGCATGCAGAATATTTTTGTAGTAAAAAATGTTTTAGTCTATTATATCATTAACCATTTTTGTAGCATTTGATGGTCCTATTTTTCAAAAGTTTCGGGCTCGGCATTATCTGAATCAATACATTGTTATATTAAAACGCTCTGTACTGAAATCATTACGATGGCGCTTATAGTTCCACACGGCTATTGTCACTTATATAAGTTGATGAAATGTTTATAACTAGTGTATATTTAAATCAAACAAAAACATTATTCAGGCCTTTTGTAGCCTCGAACCCAGCTATGCTCTTGTCGTAGGATATGAATTGAATTAAGATACTTTGGGTTAATTTCGACATAGAGTTAACACTCATTATTTCAATTCGATTCAAGCACCGTTATAATGGGTATTACGATGTGACCATCTGCAGAGATCGGTGACACCGCCGATCTATCCGTGGGTCCTAAAAAGGGTAGAAAAAGGCGCTTAATCTATTCCCAATTGGTTATGTTAACACATGACAAAAAAAATTATATGACAATGTTTGTATTACGTAGCCATAAATTTTTCTTAAAATATTACAAATTAACAACGAACAAGAGAATTATCTCAGACCAAAATAGGCTTCATCTATAATTCATTCGTCTAGCCATTTTTGACCCATATCTACTGTAATTACCAGTTGCGAATGGGTTTAATGCTTAATGCAATATAACCTCAGTTTTAGAAGCGGATACGTAACAAGCGAACGGTTACGCAAACATTCTAGTCTGTGACTTTGCATATAATTTATTTTACGGCTAGCCAAAATGTACCTGGACTCGCGTCGCCATTGAATAACTATAGAATAAATTAAAAGGAATGTAACCATAAATTTTATAATTACAAAAAGTTAAAAAAAATAAAATAAAATAAATATAAAAAAAACCTCTCTATTTCAGCCAACGGTTTTTATATGATGCTATCAAATAATATATCCTGTCAGATGTCCGATTCAATTTTGACATTTGGAATAAAGTGTAGATGAACTGACGTGGATGAAGTTGAAACTTTTTTATTAAACAAACAGATACATAGATGTGATTGAGAACATGATACCTTGAGAAAACCGCAACTCCTACATAACGCTAAGTAGTGCTACCTGTGTACGTAATTTTCCTGTTATTACGTTATTATTCCCAGCGCTTTACATGTTACAGTCGCAATATAAGTGTACTAAAAGGTATTGGCCTAAAGGCATCGATGAATATAGTCTTATGATAATATTATTAAGACGATAGTTGGGAATTGCCCCCAATGGAAATTGTGTAGCCCCATTGGAAAATGTGTAGCACCATATATCAACAAGACAGTGGGCTGTTTTGTTAGATTTTTTAGTATTATAATACATGCGTCAACAAATATTGCTTAGAAGGGAACAAACAGAACGTATTATTTAATTATTAATCACATATGTTCCAACTGGGATTATTTATGAGCTATTCTGTTCAAATATTTACAAGTTCAATTCTCTTATAACCGGAATTTGGTAACAAAAAAAAAAAAAAAAACAGCATTTGTCTCGTTGTATTTTTTACTTACGCAATTTATTTTTCATTTTCGTTCCTTTAGGATTTTTTGCAAGTTATAAATTTCTAAACGTTCTACCGCTGGCGTGGCGTTGATCAGCCCGATTCTGCACGATACAGCCAGTAGAACGTAACGTACACACACGTACACCTTAGCCTCTACGAACAATTCCGCGATAGATTGTCAAACATATAAATGCGTCGGCGTGCATTAAAACGCCTCCCGGTGTTCTGCGCTAAGTCGTATCCGATCTCCATAGCTTCCTTGCCTATTACGACTTTCTCTGCTGGTAGCGTCTCAGCTGTCTATGATAATGATGTTCGTGGTATTCACAAGGAAACAGACAGGGGATTCGAGCAAATAGACGTTCTGCTATACTATTGGAGACGCCGCGCAGCGTTCGCTGGTGATCAGCTTTTATCTAATGTTTTACTCCACTCCATCCGCCCCCGCGTCGTCACCACTACTATTTGCATTGACCGAAACGAGCGATCTACCTTTGGATTGACCTTTGGGCTGCTGAGAGGTCGTATCGGATATAGTCGTCACAGCGGCTGTTGCTGCTAATGTTGTCGAGGCCGTTACTTCTACTGCGGTCGTATCAAACCTACTCTATTTAGCGGAACAGAAATATGCTCAATGGCATTCGATATTAGCGGTACAGCAATAACATTATCACCATTAGAACAGTCAGCGACCGTCCATCAAAGACCAGTAGAAGCGCTGGCTAGAAGCGGAAAGTCTTCTCGACAGCTCACTCCCTCACATTGCGGCTGACTTCAGTGTTTCCTTTCATCTAGATAAAACGTTGAGAACAGTCACTAGGCCACTGGAATAACACTTAAGCCAAACTACTGCACGTACGCCACGTACGGGCACACTCGCCAGCCGGCTTGCGATAATCTTCTAATAGCCCATTTTGAGATGGAGGTGGCGATAGTTTTTCAGTAAATGTAATAATCCGTGCATTAAACGCTCTAGATAAGCGAAGCATTCGTCTGTTATAATCTCATTGTTTGACTGAGTGAAACCCGAAGTTATTGACACCGATTCGTAATAGACGTATAAGCGCCGTAAACTCTGACAAGCGATCCTCCCACCACGTTGGCCAGCGACAAAGTCATCACCTTAATAACTTGTGAGGGTGGCACGACACACGACAACGGTGTATTTGTATCGTTGCCTCTTTCCTTGTAGGTCAGTGAAGGAAATAGGCAGTTTACCTATTCAGCAATAAGATAATGGATTTCCACTTGACAATGGAACGCGACCCGGCGCTAAATAAGTTCCTTGAAAAAGAAAAGGAGTGTTTTCAAGAGACACAAGGCGGTTTTAACGACCAGGGTGCTCATCGTATAGAGGAAAATAAAGTTCAAGATGACAACACGTGTCAACAGCAGGATGAAAAGGACATTCAATGTCTAAACACAGAGGTGAGTTAATTCAACGGTTTCTGACAAGCCACAGTTTCTCGTTGTTGAAGCGATAGGAATTCAGTGCTCGATTATTAATGTATAATTCTGCTAAATCTTAATAATTGATGTAATTGAATGGGGGCAAATCTGTCGTCGCATCTCCAGGATATCAACCCGCCAGCCAATTTGAGGTAAAATCACGTGCCATGAAGGCACTTCACGCATCCACCGCCCTATTCAAAATACAGCACTGTTGTTTTTTTTCCACAGCTATGAACGAAGTACAAAAGTAAACAGAGTTCAATAATGAGAAGGTAAAAAACAAATCGAAAAAATGAAGGGCCACTCAAACTCGATGGTCAAATCAAGCGGCCTTTACGATTTATCGAAGGTCCTGGATGACAACCCGTAGCAAGCGTTCCGCTCTTTTCGTATTTGTACTCCATATGATATGTGAACGAGAGTATTAGAAATGGAATTTTCATATACTTGTACTTAGCTCAAAGGTGATTAGCCTTACGACGAAATATTTCCGTGATTTTGGATGCGTAGCGACCTACGCATAAAATGCCAGATACGTTAGTTATATACAGTGGCTGTGGTTCTCTATTTGGTCCTTTCTTATTTTTTGGTCTTAACTTCTTACGAATGTCGCATGTTTCAATTGCTGCAGTCGGCCCGAGAACAGTCAGTACTCAGCCGTATCTATAAAACAGCAAATAATGAGACACGCGATGGCAGTGAGGCGTTCTGAAATTGATAGGTAAAATCTGAGATCGTTATACTCCAGTAGCCTGACCTGAAACCCGAGTCGAAATTAGGAAAAGCATTTTATATCACAAGCATGTAGATTGTGATGCATTTCTACTATGTATATTCCATCGTTGTGTTTCAAACAGGTTACTTATGATTTGACCAAATATGCTGCCGCCCCAGATACAAAACAGCTGCCGGCATGCCAGAAGGTCGACGAAACTTTGGCGTCGGCTACGAATCGGACTTCTGCAGAACCCGAGCATAACGACCCCCAACAATCAATCCTGGTTCCTGCTGCTGCCACGAATGATGGCACGAATTCGCGTGCCAGTATTAGCCTTCAAACAGTGGCTAGTGTTGGGATGATTAGAAATTCTATGGCCCGCGCAGAGCATTGCAGACCGCAAGCGAGAAGGTTTCACCAGGAATCGGAAACAATGCAACAATGGCGAAAGGATTTCGAGGAACGACTAAGAATCAAGGATCAACTTGAAGCCGAAGCCATTAAGGAGCTCAGGGAAGAAGCTGGCAGATCGAAAAGGGAATGGTAAATTCTACTATATGTATATATAGAACTATCATACTAAATTACCTTTGCTCAAAAATGCAGTTATTTTACTTTAACGCCAGCCCATTGGATCAGTACAAGTGAGCTTGTCTTAAAATGCTTGCATTATTATATTAAGTGCTAGAGCTCCAAGCGGTCCTTTCCAGGTATGCCCAGTGGCCAGCCGAAGTCGCTGAACGGCGGGTACTTCGAAGCCTGGAAGAACAAATGGCTGCCGACGCTCTCCGAGAAAGTAACAGTAACTCTACCTGTTGGCAGCGCATGAGCCGCATCGCGAAATCACTTAACATCCGCAGAGAGTCAAAGGACTTGAATCGCATGAGAGCGTTGCTTATAGCACTCGAACGGCCGCCCAAAAGGACCGTCCCCATGTAAGAAATGTTTTTGAGGACAAAAATAAAGTATCTCCAAATCATCCAAACAGTCGAAGAAATACCACCTAAAGCAACACCCAAGCCAAAAAATAATATCTCTGTGCGTAAGTTCGGCAATTGTAAAGAACCAAGTTGGACTAGGGTCGCAAAAGCCACCAACTCCAGGTGGATGTCTTCACGGGACACACTTTTAGGTAGCTCAGAAAACGTAATTCAGAAACGATTTGTATAAATCTAAGCATCTAAATTATATATATAATGCGATGTACGTATAAAAGGTCCGTTTCCTGTCAGCATCGGAAGCCATTGTGGAATAAATGTTGTACATTTGAATGCGTAGTGTCAATAGATTTATCGGCCCTTTCAGAGCTTGGCGACAACGTTATCGACGATAATAATATGACATTTATTCATCCTTAGCAACTCAGTCTCTTTGCCGCCAAACGTTAAAAGAAGTAGTAAATTATATTCTCTATAAAAAAAATATGCCAAAATTAGTGAAAATGTTATTCTATTACGAGCGTAGAAGGTGGCCTATTAATGTGAAGGTTAGAGGTTCACTAATTGAATTTTTAATATCCAAGCAACTTAGTTACGGAAGAACCTGCAAGTTGTTTGGTTTCGGCGTACCTTTAACTGGGCTGCTGAATAGCATGTTTACTTCGGGCGAACGTGCAGCATGTGTATGTTAACGTTTCGCCGAGCGTAAGCGATTAGCAACCACTCTGGAGACAGGGAGTTGGCTTCAACACAACCTTAAATAAGTTCCAAGTCGATTAACCAAGATGGTTAGCTTGTATCTCAAGACACGACACTTCATCAATACATTAAAGTGCTTACGTTGAATTATCAGTCTCAACGTGTCTCATGTGCAGTTTCTGGCAAGCAACGACTGGTGCAACAACACGACCCAAGGTTCGTCGTAATCTATTCGGTGGCGTCTCGGCTGAACAGGTATGTCTGCCTTAGCCTTTAACCTAAGTGCTCGCCGTCGGCTAGCAGAAGCCGGACTTCTGTTTATTTACAATGAAAACAATAGTAGGCTAGATAGCTAGTACTGGCATGATGTGCATTAATTAGAAAACCTAAGAATTATGATCATTGAACCATGCGTTTTTTCAACAACTTTAATTTACTGCTTGAATTGATATGGCGTGGGGCATCGAAGTTTTGCTTAGCTTGACTCTAGCCACCTGTCTCCGTACATATATTCATATTGACTTTTCGTTGGAAGGACCAACCTAATATCGGCCGTGCATGACCCCGTGGTCGCTATAAGGCACTCTATTGCTTAAGCATTATGTATTGCGTTACCTAGATTTCGTGTTTATAGACAGCAGTCAACAACAACATCTAATTTGGGAAGGTCACCTCACCAATCTGTCGCTATTAAAATAGCCATTAACCACCAGCAATTTCTATAGTGCCATTGAAAAAGCTTACTTTCAAAGGGTACTCGCAAATGTTTCGAAGTACATGGAGTGGAAAAGAGGAATATTTGTTTTTTGTTTCAGCTAATAACACCATCGAACACCATCGTCTGAGCCTCTTTGAACGAGCAGTTCAGGTCTGAAGTGAGAAATAGTTATTGCAACCTTGAACTATTTTTATTTATTATAGATTTGTCTTATTATTATTATTATCAGGATTTAATTCGCTGAAATCGCAGCTGGCTGGCCCTCCATGGCCAGTTTGTAGCCACTATAGGCCGTACAGACTGATCTGGTTGAAGTTTCCTGTTCGCCGTTTCGGCCAACAAGTGATCTCTTGAATGACATTTTGGTAACAAAAAATCCCCCTCTTAATTCGTTTTGTCAAACGTACCTACAGCGGAATGAAAATATATAGGATGGTAGAAAAGTTGGTATATAGCTAAAGCACCTACTGGAATATGTTACGTTATCGGAAAAAGCTACAGGCTTAACGCATGCAGCAAGCTTTACATGGTGAAGCTCGAAAGGGACTCAACTCACTGTATATTTGCGTGAAAAGTTACCCGCCTCTCGATTTGCGACGGCGAAAACCTGACTAACAGATTATGCAACAGAACTAGGTAAAACTTCTTCACGACATATGAACTACTGCCAGAAATTCTTACTTGGCAGTGTTTTTTGAGCGCGTTGTCCATTGCACGTATCAACAACCGAATACGCCTGAATCGAGAAGGTCATTTGTCCTAGACATGCGTAATAATAACGTTATCCAAAATACCTAATCGATATTATATTGTAATAGTGATAAAAATGAAGGAGTAAAGCCTCGTTGATTGAATTGTGGTTCTTTTATTATTTTCCCTGCAATGGTGTTATACAGACACGACTAACTGTCGTGTATTATAAGTTCGTTTTTACTTTGACCTTAGTTCGTTCAACCTTACTTTTTATGACGTACTTTTATCTCATTGTTAGTTGGTGCATTGTTAACGTTCGCAATATGGCGCCTGCCATAGATTTCCAGTAGCTATGTTTTCTCACTATATATTAACAGTTAATACTATTTCTAGTCATTTCAGATCTATCTAGTCAACAATAGCTATACGACCGTTGTACATGGCGGAGGACCAAAGCAATAACAATCAACAGATGTACCATTTTGGATGATTGATAGCGATTCCGGAACGATCGGAAAATCAATCCGCTATTTTTTCCTAGATGAAGACAAATTTATATGATTGTTTCGAACGGAAGCCATATGTACATTAATTACTTTACGGTTGATCCACCGCCGTGTCAAAAATCAAGTACGTCCGGTTCGATACGAAAGGCAGCATAATTCGCATAATTTTACAACAACAACAACAACAACTATGAATTACACGATTTCCATGATGTACAGTATAATAATTAATGATATTGCCCTTTTATGAGAGGCAGAAAAACTATTCGATTAAATGACAGTTGCGTTTTGTTACATTATTTGTCCTAAACGTGATAAAATTAATCCGATACGATCATAGGGGGAGGTCTTCTATCAAAGTTGAACGTTGGTAAATGCCAACGTTTTTACCGTTAAGGCGCACTAATGAATACGCCTGGCCTGAGAAACACGCCTTAGTATGTGCCACGAAATCGTCTGAACATTAACATGTCAACGAAAAGGACCAATTTTATCGTTATTTTGTGACGATACTATTATTTCAAACAGCAGTAGCAGGTCGCTTTGAGCAAAACATTCGTACAGCGCCAGCCTTAAATAACGATGGTGTGTTAAATAGAACGAAGATGAGCTACCATCTAGATACTTTGTGTATGTATTTACATTCGCTTAGCTCGACAATTTTACAGTTGCTCGCATTACTTAATTAGGCTGGAAGCGTGCGATATGTTTAATTAAATACTCTACAGTTAATCTGACTTATTCGACGACTACCACTAAATAACTAACACTTTTCCGTGTCTTTTCATGGTAAAATTCTACCTAGTTGCATGTCGGTTGATCGATAAATCCTGCTTTTAAGGCGACGGTCATTCTGGGCTTTGGATTCGTCTTTGATCCAGCAAGCATATTCCTAAAAAAATAACAATAGGTAAAGGTCTATAGGCAAAGACTGCATGCAGAGTGGACAAATTCTGTTACCCGCAAGCTTTTTTTCGGCATTATTTTCGTCAATCAGTCGTGTTAGTCATCAGCACTTGTGGTGGTTAAGGAAAAGTCGTTGACCGATGATTTTTCGTGTAGGACAGAAAACATGGAGGTGTCCAACGCATCGATAGCCTAACAGATTGCACGTATAGGACAAAATTGCCTATAGGGGGCGGATGCAATTTTCAGGTTTTGCGAAAGCCTAGCTAGCGTCTGAGTCTCGGTTTGATGTTTTTGCCGCTCTATCGGCGTTCACTCATACGCCCAGTAACTATAGACGGACGACTTGGAGCTTTTGTGCGATAACTGAGTAGTCGAACTTTTCTCTTCGTCGAGCTGGTCGCTATCCTTCGGAATGACGCGCGCAGCCAAGAGCATTGCCACCATGATACAGGCCAGAAGACCAGCAGAAACCAACGGAACCACGGGGAAAATTCCCGGACGCTCCTCAATCCATCTGTAACAGCATAGATGTTCCGAAACAGTAATTATAGCCAAAGTATTTTGGTCTTTGCTTTCAGGATCGTTGAAGAATTGAATGCATTAGGTAAAGCGACATTCGCCTACTGTTGATTTGGTCAGAATCATCCGGCTAACTGGAAATCATTTTCATCCTGAAATATTTAGCCCTGGTTCTCGGTCTCTCAGTGACTATTAGGTACATTAGGTCATCATCTATTGAAACTAATCAATAAAAAAAAAAAGGACTCAGACCTTCCAACCAGCAGCGAAGGCAAGACAGCTCCGAGAGCAGCTGCAGATACGACTACGCAAGTTTGTAGGTAACTCAAGCGGACCTTCGAGATTAGCCAGGCGTTAGCAGAACCGTAGACCGACGCGAAGGCAGCTCCGAGTAGCACGCTAAATATGGGCCAAAATGCGCCCATGTACACACCCAAATTCGTTAAGAGGAGTATTCATGGTCACACTAAAATAGTATTAATAATGAATTTGAGAGAATTTTTGTTGCATTTGGCTCTATTTGGTTGCTGTCTCTGTTAGCGTATAGCGTAGAAGCTGTTACAACAAAACGATTCTCGTCTAACAGAGAGGGTTTAGTAAGAAAAAAGGAATTCTAGTAAAGCAAAGACGAACGTGTCTTGACTGCTTATCCCGAAACTCATATCTACATACACGCAGCTAGCATCCATAGTAAGGTGCAATCCCTTAAGCAACTTCAATGAAGATTTTCGTAAACGGCACCAAAGTTAAAGAATTAAGACATTATTAATTTATGCATGCAATTGATCGTGAACATTTAAGTTAACTGATGTACACATTTTCACAAATCTGTCTATTAAAATGCGATCTTATTTGTGATCTCCAGACCTGGCCGTAGTTGCGATGCTGACTGACTCAAAGTTGAACGAAATGAGCAACGTAGCAAAGCAACTCGCGGGCAAAAAATTTATATTGTACATTCAAATTTTTTAGGTAGATTTAAGCTAGTTCATCGCTACAAAGATTATAACATAGATTATTATTATAAATAATAGAACGTCAGGCATTGTTCTATATTTATGTGTTGTATATAGAGCTAGACGATATCCAATGTCCTCACAGAATTGAATTATTACTACCAATAAACTGTTTCCGTTATCCAAGAATTGGGTATATAGTGTAAAGCCGAAATTTCTATAAAGCACAGCAAGGAAGTTAATATATATATATATTCGCGTATTTGCGGTTTCGGTTCATGTTCATCACAGTTTGCCGCTCGTATCATTGTTGTCATCATTCATCATGAAGAGTATTCTAAGATCCTGTATCGGTGTGCGATACATTCTTCCAAATATTCTTGATAGCCTATGGTAAAAAAAATTGCTTCTGTGTGCCACATGGCTATTTAAATGTGTGGTATTTACGCCGTTATGTTATTAATCGACACCGGATAGAGATGAGCTGTGATTAACAGAAAAACACCGGTATTTAGGGTAATCCATCATAGCGTGAAGAGTATCATGAGCATATATGCGGAAGAAAAAGTAGTAGGTAAGAATTGGTCGGGAAATGTGCAAAGATGCTCAAACCAGACTAGTGGAGGTCAAGATGATATGATCCTCACACCCGAGCATGCAATATACTGAATTACAAACATTAAAGATCGGCCGACAGATAGCACTAACTTTGTCACGATGGGAAGATCAAAATACAGAAATTATAATCTAAACAAGCTAGAAATAGCTAGGATAGTCCCAAAATATGGCTACCAAACACATATTTATCACAGATCTTCGGAGGCGAAGAGTGCAAACCAACTCGATAAAAATGCTACTAGTATTAGTCCTTCACAGTTGTGATATTAGTATCTGACATTTCATAATATCTGAAATTACTCCTCCCGTGGATCAGCCATACTCAAGATGAAACATCCGTTATAGCAACATGATCCGAGATTGCATGACAAGGTTCCATTAGCCTCTATTACATTCGAGAAGTCCGAAGGTAATTTTCGCTAAGGGGAAATAAAAAAAAATAGGCACCACAGGCAGCGTGTTGCTGAAACGCTCTAATAATGGCTACCACACGGGGTTATAAGTGACCTCCGTACGATGTCCTACAGTTATTACCGCAAATGAATGGTACGCGACGAAGATGTGATATACATGAGGGTAATGAGCGCCATTATGATGAACTTTGGCTGATGATAGTTATTCCCTATATGATTGTAATGGATGGCTTTCGCGTAACCGCTCACGTGCCCTTGTTCGCTTGCCTGTGTTTTTCTGCCGATGATTTCATCGAATTATTTGGGCGGTCTGAACCGCGTTTATTGGGGGCGTCGGCCCCTACGCATCGTGGACTGTTTATTCTTACCTGCAATACCAGAGATGTGCGTGACTTTTGTGACCGACGGCGTACATGGCGCCGGCTGCGGCAACAAGGGCGGTATCTGCGAGGAATAACACGTTGGCAGGGGTTAGCTTCACCGACAGAACAACAGGCACCAGGCGGAAACAGCAGCAAGACCACATCAGACCTGAGTGAGTGACAAATTATAGGCATTAGCGGGTGTCGCTCATTTTGACAACCTCCCCATACCATTATTCTCATGTCCTCGTTGGAAATAGTAGAAACCCTTTTTAGCTTGAAAGAGTCGACTGCGATGAGATGTAGCGTAATTGAGTTAACGTATGGCTGTATAAGTACGACGCTTCCATTGAAGCAACAAACTGATATTGGAGTACCCTATAATATATTCGTAAATGCCCTTAAGATAATAGCAAACTCAGGATATCTTTTAGGTCGTCAATATATTTGATTGATTATTTATTTTACAGCTCCATGGGAGTTTGCTTCGCCATTTACGAATAAGTGTGTATACCTCTTTGTACGAACTAGCAAACCGTTTAGTAGATGTAATGATCTAAATCATTGTTTATCGAGATAACAAAAAAAGCAGTTATTTAAACTTGGAGGCAACGACATTTACGGCCAACGACTAGAGCATTCAAGAAGCGTTTGACAGTCCAATAGCCTACGCTATATTATCCGTCGACTGCTTCAGGGTCGAGGCCTACAGAGAATTTACGTACGATTCGTTTGAAGCTTCTAATCAGTTTAGCAGAGGTACCACATTTGACAAGTCCACCTAAAGCACAGGTACACAAACTAAAGCCGTCAGTTAGTTTCGGGCAGAATTTCCACGAGGATCAATTCCTGGAGCATATATATTTCCAAAATAGATCATCACTCTGGTTGTTCGTATTTAATTAGTGGTACTCAGGCTATCTATTTAGAGTCACCGTACCAGAAATAAGAAGCAGCGAGTCCGCTCGAGTCATGCCCTTCAGTACACCGTAAATGCTAAGGAAGTCCAGGACAGAGACAAACGTGTGCACGTACAGGAAGGCGTGACAGGCGCACAGAAGTGTGAGAGCCCACTCACGGAGCGAGTGTCGAGTGGGTGGACGTGGCTTTCCTGTTTTTAAAAGCGTCGAATATGAAAAATGAGAGCAGAAACAATAAAAACTAATCCGATATAGCTATATTAGTTAGTGGTTTTCTTTTTGGGTGCATTATCATAATAATCATAAACATGCGGCCATCGCTGATTCAAACTTCAGCCTTGACAAATTCGTATTATGTTCTATTGTTGACATCTCGTTTTATAAGCCTGCAGCATTACCCACAGACCGGACACCCAATAACCGATGGAAAGAAAAGTGGTGTACAGTATATTACACTGGGACTGAAACTCTGCAACGTGAGCCCGTCTTTCACGAACTTCAATGAAGGGTGGATAATAGCCCTAGCTATGCCACAACCCTTTCCTCCAGCCTGACCCCCGTAGCAATACGTCACGATTCAGATCTAAGGTGATTCTATATATAGGGAATAGACGCTGAACGTCGGGCGCGGACAAAAAGTTTTTATTGAGTTGTCCGGTCAAACTAGAAGAACTTTGGGAGGTTAACTGTTCATAGGAAGTTAAGCAATGGCTTATTAGAACCCTGCTATGTATGTTCTTGTATAGCAACTTATTATAAATACTGGCTATAGAGAAGGTTATCATTTATATGGCCGGAGAAAGAACTGACTAGTCTGAAGGATATTATGCTGATACTGGTCTACGTCATACATTTATGTTAATTAGCGAAGGCACGCTACTTGTTGTTTACGTACATAGGACGAAACCTGGATCACTGAGAAAATAACATAGAAAAATTAAACCTATATAATATATATATATAGTTGTAGTGTACGCATAGCATTGGTTGACTTTTTCTACGTTTTATATATATATATATATATATATATATATATATATATATATATATATATATATATATATATGTTTTACATTCATCATTTAATGTTTACCAAACTGAAAAAATGTGTGGCGTCTCGTTTGAAACAGATGGCATACCCGATCCATTGGCCCAGCGGTGGGCGAGGTAGAAACACGTGGCAATAAGAATAGTTAAGAAGGCAAGGATAGCAAACGGAATAAACACTCTGCTGGGTCGAGGAAGAGGATGCGGTGAAAGAGGTGCCCCGAGGCCCGTCGCTGTTGTAGGTACGGGAGTAGGTGCTGGGGTTGGTGGAACCACGGGGGCGTTCCTGTGGATCTCGTATAGTGCGCTGGATTGGGCAGGTGTCGATGGGAATGGTGAAGAGAACGGATTCCTCGAAGAAATCGTTCGATTTGTCAAACTTGCCCTGGGGTTCAGACATGCATTTGTATTTATACGGCGACATATCGTTACCGAGAATTAAAAAACAAGCAGAACAAAGCCGAAGATTACACCAGCATTGAGTAATCTATGAGGGTAATACGGAAGGCATTTATTTAGTGATTAAGCTTCCGTGAATTTGACGCGGAAGCAGCTGCACTTAGCTACGACCTGGTTGTGAAATTCTTTCTCGAATTTCTACAAGCTGATCTATTTCCATAGAAGGTCCGTCGCATTTTCCGACAAATATATTTTTCCGAAATATTTTTATTTTATTTATTTAACTGAGCGAACTAGTTTAACATATGAAGATTAAAGATTTAAAAAAAAAATTCACGGCATTTAATTTAATTAGGTATTGGCTTCTTTGCACATGTCGAGCGTTGGGGACAATTGTATACATCGCTCATGGATAGACACAAATATAATCTCATCCAATAGTTTTCATGTATATACGCGATTTGTCGTTTGTCGTAGAAACGTAGCCACTAACGGAACCTTCATATTATGTTTAATCAGAAAAAAACGTCAATACGTTTAACTTTCCCTTGTAGCACCGGTTTCAGACTTCAAGTAGTGTTTTATCATCATCGAGCTTTGCTGACTGAAATTGCCGGAACACTTTTACGGTCATGCGTGAATACTCATCGCAGGCTTAATGATCACGATGAATACTTAGCCTTCATTCTCATCTTATAACATAATAAAGGTACCACAACAAAGAATAAAAATACATCGAAATCTATGTAGGCGGTAGCTGTTTCTAGGGGTAGCTGCTTCGTTTTATACAATTTTTCCTTTATCACTATAACATTGCTTTTAGTATTTGGCTGAAAAGAAGGCCCGAATTTTGGCCAGCGCCGAAATTCCCATGCTAATTTTTTCCCTTTTTTATCCCGGCTACAGACAAAATTAAGCCAGACGCACAGTTAACACCAGCACAAGTATAGTTGCCAGATATGTGTGTAGTCATACAAAACGTAGTCATATATTACCTGTGAAAAGCTTATTGATCGAACTGGTACTTTTTCAAGCACGGCTATCCAAGTAGGATCTCCTTTCTCTTAGAAACACAGCAACGTGCGGAGAGAGATAGACAGAAAAAGAAAAAGAAGAGGGAGAAAGAGAGAGAATTACAATTTCTGACCAATTAATTATTTTGCAATAACTGCTATCTTCAGATTCAGTGCACATTCATAGATTCTTGCGGAAAAATCGACGACAATAGCCCCACTAGCACCAGGAAGCCCCACCTCTACGGAAAATCTGCTTTATGGTTTTTCTAATCGTTGGTATAGCTGTGACGCTCTTAACTACGATACTGATGGAAAGTGGTTTTGGTTTTTGGTCGTGAGCGGCCACAAATCCGAAGAATCGTCCAATCCTGCGGAACAGCAGAAGCTAGGATTGTCGATCGTCTATTTGAATGCTCCTTTTCTACTATTTCATCCAATGCTCCCTTGCTTCCAAAGTGCACCTGTCGCCATGTGTGTGTGGTTAGATATGTGGTCATTGATAAGAATGTCTTATGGATAATAAATAGCAGCAATCATTTCGTGATTTGCAAGTGCGAAGTTACCGTTGTACGCAGGTTTACTGGGCTTATGCCAAATAGTTATCGTTCGGGGAACTTTTTTGGTTGGAACTCTGATAGGACGTCTGCGCCACCCGAAGCAGCAACCGAAGCAGATATCAAAGGATGCCCCGTGCAGTCATGAGAACAATGCGTAAAAAAATGAATAACAAAACAGCAAGCGTCTATGCTTTCAAGTCCATAGTCGACACACGTGGAACTCACTGTGGCAGTTGACAGATATGCTTATCCTGCAACGAAGATTGCTGACGAGAACTTGTATAAGTAGAACTATAAATTCACCTGCAACTAAAGCCGCAGCGTATTTTTTGTTATGCGGACTCACACGGTTGATTTAGGTTATAACGGTTGCGTATTTAATCTAGCTTCCGCTATAGGCACAGGTATTTTGCTGACGTTTTCCACTCAAAGGGTGTGTTTGTATTGGGGATATTGAAGACAGCTGAGATTCGACAAGGTGTATCTGTAGTATTCCGCTAGTACGGCAAAGCAAAATATTAATTTAAGAACGGGTTTCTGTGCCGTCGGCTAGTTTTGTATCTACCACACGCAGTATCTTGATAAGCTGGTTACTGAAGTTGAAGATCGGAGGTGAAACCTGTCCTCATCTTCCTACCAACAATTTACCCCTTTTGAAAAACTTATTAATTATAACAGCATTCATTGTGAGGACGCAGAGCAAATGTACGGAAGCGCGATCTTAAAGGAGCAGTCAATGCGAATTGTTTGTCCAGCTTTCATCTTTGTTTTTTTCTGTTACAAATGCCAAAGTTTATAGGCACTTCGTGCATACTTAGTAATATTTTGTGATGGCAATATTAATGACTGTATTTAATTTCGTCTCCTATTACGGGCTATGGATCATTTTGCGCATAGTACATAGTGTTTCTACTATAGATTTGACCAGCAGCACGACTGTAGCAAACATAGCTACAACGATACCCGTAAATACTCGCGTTATCATGAGGTAAGACCAGTGGGCTGGGCAGCCTAACGTGGTTCGTGGCCCATGGTAAAGCGCTGGCTCCCGCGCCAGAATTTTGTTTGAAATCTTACGATATAGTCGGCAACAGACCCTAGAAATGTTTGAAAGTAACTCGCTGTTTGACAGGATTATGTAACGTTGGATAAAAACGACAGAGAAGAAACCAGATAAAACAACGTGTATACGATACCTTGTGTGTTTAGGAAAAAAAACAACTTCAAAAGTTCCTTTTCTAAGTAATTGAGATAGGCAAGAAAAAGTAGCTAACAATTCTATACTATCATATAATTCCAATGAAGTCGTTTGTCTAGATCTAAATGAAATTATTAGACTGCAACTCGTGGCTAACGAGCCATAGGATTTATAGGCGATTACTGTTATTACTCGCAATACTGTTTTAGTCCAGACTTTTCGCTCTATTTACTGAAATAACTAAATTTAATTTTCTTTACCTTACCTTACCTACGTGCATGCACTCGGATTTTTCACAAGCTATTACGTAACAAGACGATTTGCTATGTACGTAAATCGATGAGTGCTAAATTTTACAACTGGTGAAACACTTCGTGCCGTCGTAATGTTTGCGGCGAAAACGTCAGTAACGGAAAATCGAAGTCGTTCGATTCCTCAACTAGCTAGCGTACGTTCCACTCGAATATAATATTATATTGTTAATGTTTACGGAATGGTAATGTTTATAGCCGTGAACGTACGTCTACGTCCACTTCGTGCTAGAAATGTCAAAGTGGCTAAAATTTTCATCAAAATAAGATACTCCCGTCAAGTTTTTGAACCGATTCCAAGATCGTAAAAACGAGCAACGGAGCAACAATCTACAACTGATTACGACTGTATGGAACTGGACGACTAAAAGTGGACTTTTCGTCTACCATCACGTCAACAATGGCGGTAACGCTGGTGCCGATAATGCTCAAATATTACGTCTCCCTTTTTTCTGGGTACGGACAGCAAATTCGCTATGAAAAAAGCCACTACCAGTCAAATTGGTAAAAAAAAAAATAGAATACGTCAGTGTATGAAAGAGAAACATGATAGACATAGAAAGACATTAATCAGCAGTTCTCGCCTATTTCAGCAGCCATTGCCGAACTAGCAATACGGTGAGAAAATAAAGTCCCAAACACACAATTATTTTATTTTTTTTTTCTATAGGATTATACCAGCTTATAACACAACTACTAAGGGAATATTCCCGGCAAATTAAATTTCTAGGTGTCCGCAAATCATTATACAGGTATAACCGTTCCTAACGATATGGATGTGTTGCCTACCTGACCTGCAACACGGTTTGATGATCAGCCTGCCTCTACGCATCTATGGCGCCTATACTTCATGTCGGTATAAGCTGACATATTTCAGAGCTTAGAGCAAAAATCGTCGCTCCGGGCCCGCATATATTCGTTCAGTCTGAATTATGCCAGAATTATGAATGGATATTATGGAGAAAAGTCGAATCTAAAAACCAACATTATATTACCAATATCTGCGTTTTTTTTATGGAGCTCGAAACATTAATACCCTTTACAATACATGTTTCTATCGATCTGCTTTCTAAGCTAATTCTCGATGAGATATTTTTTTTCCATTGGCCGTTAATTGTTACTGTGAGTCAACCAGTTAACTGAAGCTCTGTCACAACGCTTTTGATAACGAGCGCGCGTCGGGAAAGAGACGCTATTAAAGCTTTTGTCATGTCCATGTGTTTGTAAATTTGGTAACATTGTGTTCAAACACAATTTCACAAGCCTCGCTTTGAAGCAGGTAAAAACGCAATAATAATTTGTTTGAGTAGTCCGAAGGTTCCGTTTTAGTATGAACGTAGCCATTAATCCTAGAAACCCATCGCGTCGTCTAACCTTACCACAATCCGTCACATGGTTACAACTCTAGGGTTGGCTTTTATCGAAACATTTTGCCTTCGATCTGTTTCGGTAATACAGTTCTAAGCCGCACGAAACAGTGACAGAAAAATGAACTGGAGATTTTTACGTAATTAAGGTGACTTTCAAGAGGAAATACGCCACGGCACCTTGGTCTCCCACGAGTGACGAGGTAGTTGATAGCCCCCCATTCCAACGAACCCGCAGCCCCTGGATGCTAATTGATGCAAGGTGAGCTTAAAAATAGCACATTTATAGACGATAGAGTGTTAGCCGGCCACTAGACTGTTGATATGAAAGGTAAGAATGGTCATCAGTCATCACTGTGATTATCTGTTGGCATTTGATTGCTGTTCTTAAGCTCCTTGGCAAAAACCGCTCGCCTATTCCACAAAGCATTACACATTGCCATTTCGCCGGTCTAAATGATTATATGTACCTATAAGTGATCCTTTCAACACTAAACTCTAAACAAATGTGTGTCTTCAAAAAAAACTGAGCGCTTCGTTGGTAAAAATTGCTCATATTCGGTATCGTCGGACCCTGTCCTTTCAGTCACTTAGCCCAGATCTGTAGAAGTGTAAAAACGATATTGCCACGACATAAAAGTCACAAGTACAAACGGTATCCCTTTCAAGTATTTTCGTACGCCAAAATAAGACTAGTCTAATTTTCGATCGCGCGTTTCGTAGGAATGTCGAAAGTTCTGGGTAACAGCCAATATAAACATGTATACATTAAGTATGAGAACGGTTCAAATTGTATTGGGTGGCTGTTTTTGCAAAGGACCTTAGAAACAAAAATCACAGTTATGATTGATGATCGTTCTTGCTCTTCAAATCAACAGTCTGGTATCCAGCTAACACTCTATCCTCTATAAATGCGCTACTTTTAAGCTCACTTTGCATCAATTAGCTTTCAAAGGCCATGGGTCGTTGGAAGGAGGGGGAGATATCAGTTGCTTCGCCACCGCTAGAAGGCCAAAGTACCATAACGTACTTCTCAATGTAATACTCACCTATTCAGTTGACGCAAAACACCAGTACACAATATATGATCTTCCATAATATTACACGAAGATTGGTCAGACGTATTATTCAAGTTACTATGTTTGCTCATGTGTTAACAACCTGATACATTTTGTATGGAGATTTTTTTCGTTCTATACGAAATATCCCGAGCTACGAAATTATGTAAAAAGCATCAGGGTAGTAGTAGCAGAAGTGGTCTGGGTCTAGTTTCGTTGTAGTTAATGAAACAATCAATTGGCGCTGCGTTGCTGTTTCAGTTGATAAATTCGTATCTATATTTTACAAGTAACACAAGACTTGAGTGCGCGCCATTTTTAAAATGGCTAAGCCAAGGTAAATTGTCTTTCTCTTTTTCTGTAAACGTTTCTGTAAGTTGAATCAAATACCTATATATATATATATATATATATATAAAACGTCACATCACGCGGCAAGTCGAGCTGCCAACGCCCTAACGCTTCGCTTGAATAAGCCAAAAGCAACTATATTTTTACCTGGTTCTCAGAAGTGGGCAGAGATATACTCCACAGTTCGATCAGTTATTTTCAAAGGGCAAAAATTAGGGCAAATAAATGGAACGCTTGTGAAGGTCAATCAGGATGCAGAGCACGTATAGTAGTATCGAAGACAGTAGACTGTTTCGGTTAGAATAGGCGGAGCTAATTCAAATACAGGTCCTCTCGCAGTGCATATGAACGCCTTTACCTTTACCAGGTCGATTCCTCGTTTCGATCATTGGCACATTTTTAGGCGCATCTCTATTGATATGGCCCAAAAAGTTACAAATTAGAGTAATATATACGTATAGAGAATTATTGACTTGGTACGGAGCAACGCTTCTAATTACATTTTTTTTAAATATAGCCGTAATATGGATATAGAATTTTGATACATAGGAACTCCTCACATTTCCTTGAGAATTGTTTGATGTCAGATCGTAACAAGTAATTAATAACAGGTACGTGAAACAATTCGGTGATATATAGGTAAATGAACATTTTGGCTAACGTACAGAATTCGGGCTAAACCCTAAAAAAGTACTACATTTCTAAGAGCCACGCAGGCAATGATTATATGTAGTTGTCTGGTTCATAATAACATGTTTCATAAACAAAACAGCTTTTCCTTTACATTTGAAATTCATGGCTTCGTTTAAAATTCCCAAATCTATTCTTCACTAAAAAATAATCAGTTGTAACGCTGCTAGTAAACAAAAACAAGTTAACTATATGGAGAAAGTATTAAAACGATTGTCTAAGTGTACGCTCAAAACACAGCTTATCTTGGTAAAAATGTTAATCCAGTAGTAGAAAGTACGTGAACTGAGGCCTCGTTAAATACGTACCGGTCGCTGATGAAAGGTCGTGCAATAAGAGGCCCTACGCCTGCACCGACAGCGAACATCAGATGATAGCCCTGCACGATGGTCGAAATCCACTGGGATTTATGTACGGCCATAAGCAGAAGGTAACTACCTATAAAGTATAACGAAAGGTAATGATAAACAGAAAGCGGACATTGAAGAATTAAGAGCTGTTACTTTTCTATACCTTAGCTCTAATCATCCGTGTATCCTCGTAATTCAAGCGGTTATTTTACCTAGAGTAAAATTGTACAATTATGATCTATTATTAATATAGTGGTGTGGTAAAAAATACTGATTTACTGCTATAACTTATTTCCAGGACGATTTGAAGATATACAAATGTTTCGATAATACTAGAGTTTTGATATATGGTAAAAGGATTAAGCAAAGTACGACTCGAAAGGAAACCAAGGAATAATTTCATCTCGTTGTGGTTCCAGACACTAAACAACTTATTGAGAAATTGAACAACTTATACGACCTTCTATAACATCTAAGTGATGTTTTCGTGATGGTTCTCTTTTTGAAAGTAATGCCGATTTTCTAAACTAGGTTGTAACTTCACAGATGTGAATTACACGAAGTTTCGTTGGAATACATAGAAGTGACAGATTTGAATTGCAGGTAATAGGTCCTTCTCTAATTATAGCCTATTAGGGGTATCAGCGACGAAGTGCAAATCTGCCGTATCATTCCGAGCATATTTTTACGAGCTAAACTATAGAAACTTCGAAGGGCTACTCAATTTTAGGTTGCGGCTCGCTTGTAAATTGTATTTTTGAGACATAGGACGCCATATTAGCTATTATGGCTATTTGAAATGGCCATTTGTAATGGAAGTCAGATCTCATAAATTCACCACAGCTGCCAACTTGTCCGAAGTTTATTGTCTGGCGCCGTTCGTTAATTCTTGCAAGATAATGAAGTGAAGGCAGCTTGCATTTAACTGAATATTGTAGGCTAAGTATGGCAAATGTGGTAATGTCAAAGACTCGACAGCTTATAGTGGTGTTGGGACGCAATTGTTTTGAGAGTCCTCCAAAATCGGATTTTTCTTTTTTCGCTGTTTTTTTTTTAAACCAGATTTAAGAATTATAGCTATCTGATGATAAGATGATGTGTAAAGCTGCTAATCTTACAGCCGTCTGCTAATGCATTTTGTGAATATGTTACGAAATCAGAAAATGGTCCCAAATGCCTCAACGCGACAGTTCAATGCACCAATTTTTATCTATTCAAAGTATATAGTGACGCTATCAGAGAACCCCGAACTGAAAACCGATGATAGAAATTCTCACTTTCATTACAGAGCCTCATATTACGTTCGTTAAACGTAAAAGTACCACCACTACGATCTTCCCGTTATATATATATATATAACGAAAATAATAATCATTATACATTTACGGAATGAGATAAAACGAATACACGCTGACCTCAATTATGACCGGTGTAACGGTAATAATTTGATAATATAAACATTGTTACAACGAAATTGTCGGCCACTATTGACGGCTTCCTTTTGCTATTGGAGATCCGTCCTTTTCTTGGCAGTTGATCATTTTAAAAATCCCAGAAAATGCCATACTCATCAGCTTATTATTACTATTACCTGCTTTTATTGGTTATCGTCTTTTATGGGCATCTTGGACTCTTCTGAAACTTCTATATTACTATGCCAAATTCAAGCAGTCTCTTCGACCAGACCATGTCATAGGCAGTACACTATTGCGCAATTTCATAACGCTATAAATCTACCACACGAACTCAGCATGGCCATCTATTAAACTGATAGAACCCATAATCGCATTAATGAAAATGAGTGAAAATAAACAATACACTATAGTTTTCTATTAAATCGGACGAAGGCTGCATCATTATAATGTTTGGTCTAGACCTCGCATCCATGATATCATGTTTGTAATATAAGGGGCATAAATTTGAGTGTTTATTTCAGCTTAGCTAGACACTGGATGGCCTAGTGGTATGATGTTTTTGACCCCGAACAGAAGACGTTGCGTATCGTGCCGAATTTCTTCCGGGTGCAACAGGTGACAGCGTATTTCATAACGTAGCGTCCATGCTATTGGAAATGACCATGGTTGCCTACTTCGTGAGTTTCACGCAGACGGTACTGGCTGTGTAGAATCCCTGCCTCGAAGTGACTTCGTCTGCGTGTATACCCTTGACCTGAACGTGTTAGAAACCCGTTCTTCCTTCAAGGTCCGCGCACCTTTGGCTACCGTAGATCTAATGTACGTATTGACTAATTACGTCGTCAAACGATCAATACAGCATGTACTACGTCTACGGTAAGCAAAAATATATTAATAGATATGAGGCCGGGGGAAGCATTTTTCAATATCAACCCGGCGACTATCTACTGGGAGTCAAGAAAATCGGTAGGATTTTGATCAGAGATAATTGTTACCACTTTCTTCTCGTATGAAAGGTTCATAATCAAGCGAATAACACTGAAGACGCACAGTTGCGAATGCCTGTTGCTGATGGGTGTAGCCTATTATATAATCAGACAATTCTGATGTGTCCCACTAATTAAACTCGGTCACCGACGACTGTAGTCGCTTTGAAAATAGGCCAAACAACGTGTGCCAATTACGTGTGCCATCTAACATTACGAAAACTATTACGTAAATCATTTTCTAACAATATCATTGAAGACCAAAAATAATAGCTGGTAAACGGGTAAAGCCAAAGGAAGATAAGAGCGAAACTGTTGCTCACTGAGTTCGAATGATGTCCCATCGGAATTCCGATTGCCGATTGATATAATTAAGCTGGAAACAACTGCGAAGTCTAGCATGTTCCTAAGTCCTATCGACACTATAAACATATAAAGAGACAAATGATGCTATGATTCGGAGTGTATCGCTTTGAGTGGGAACAGCCACTCAAACCCTTTATCGAAAGGCCTTCGGTTTGAAGTCAAGGCCCATCGTAATGCCATGGAGCCATTTTATAAAAATGTATTAAGCCTTAACTTATAACGAACAAAGTAGAGAAAATGATTTTTAAGCATGCCTAAATTACAAAGTTAGAGCAATCAATTGATCAAAAATAATTTACGTTTTTATAAAACACCTACAGAGCGCTCAATCATGTTCGACTCAAAAGCTAATAGGGATCGTACTGCGACTCATGCGAGTTTTCTGTTGTTAAGTAAACCTCAACTGTGGATCTCACAAGGCCTGATCTGTCTTTCGTCGTCTACTAGTTACGCATGCGAATTTCTGTGTTTTGCTTAATAACAGATTTATCTATGGAAGAGAAAGAACTCTATAGCAAAGATGAAAGAGACAGCTTCTGCAATGAACTCAAATCCAAGTTTGATTTATTGATTTAGCCTTAATTTGACTACAGTACTATAATGGCAAAGATGTATTGGTCAGAAACAAGTGATCAGACGATCCTATGCATTCTAACTATCAGACGATTATATTATGTACAGAAAAATCTATCGCACTCTTAAAAAAAGTGGTATGCAATTATCTAACCGATCAAGCACCTAATTAAAACTCATTCCGATAGCACGGCCATAAAGTCGACTCTATAAATGAATTATTATAAGGACAAATATCATATAGCTGTCTATATAAACTCCCGTTATCCAATCTTTTCTATTTTTTTTTTTCTAATGACAGCGCCTCATTAAGCGTGTCTAACGTTCGAATCTATTCGTAGACGTATGCATGTTTAAAAACGCATGCCATATGACATTAAATCTTATTGGACTTCGATACAATCATCGGTCGTTCACGGAGAGGGCCACCTGCCCCAAGATACCTGCGAAATACACTGGACCCTCACATTAATTGACCATTCTTTACATAACAACGTAACGGTCAGCCGCACCTGCGCTGAAGAGACGTACATTTATTCATCTAATGGTAACTAACTGTCATCTTCTGACCACAAACACATCAATGTTGATCCCCGCAGTGGGCATCCAATATCATTAGTCCTACGTTTACATCTGTCCGTTCTCTGTATTGTGCCGTGCCCTGTGTGCCGGTCCGTACGTCTGTGCAGACGTATAAATCTATACAGTTGCAAAGCGTACGAAGAAGCGGCCAGCCAAACACGCCGTCTTACTGAGGCGGCGATGGGCTTGTGCCCAGTCGAAAGCGGTTTTGTGCTTTTCCTCTCAGAAGAGCCTTTCCTGACCCTGACACAATGTCGGTACAATGCGCATTTACAGCAGGACCGCGGCAGGCGTCCGTTAGACACCACCAAATTAACTAACGGCCTATCACTGCCCGTAGCGGCGACGAAGATGTAAAGTTCGCTAAACGGGACATAGATAAAATCCGGCTATTGCACGATGGTAGTTTTCTATTGAGTTGCTTTACTCATTTTGTAATTCTTCAAAAGTGCATACTTTGCATAGAAACAAAAAACATCTTGATAGATTAGTGCCATAGGTAAAGCCAACAAAACTCACAAAGATAATGGTCAAGCAGTGGATTCTGGACCGAACGACCCAGCATTGACTTTACGTGAAAAGTTAGTTGGTAGTCATAAAACGTCCTAAAGTTGTAATAAAGTTTAAGAGCGACCCGATGCGACGGTGGCCCTATACCAAGCAATGAGCTATATTATGGAGCGATGATTGTTGCAGTCAGGCTCGACACAAAGTTGCACAGTTTTTCGAGGTGACAGCATCGAAAGAGACGGCCAGTTACTAGAGGAACTCTCGTGCTTACTCACCGTTCTATCCCAGTTTTTTGATGGGTCCGTTTTGCGTGCTACTTTTTTTCAGTGTCAAAGCAACAAGGTCGAGTGTGTCGCGAACGCTAGCGTCTTCGTAAATAAGCTATTAAGCATTGATAGTCATTTGTACATGGCGGCATCGCTGATGAAGGAGAAGGAAAGTTGAGAAAAAAATTGCTTAAGCATAATATAGTTACTCATGTCGATTATGTAACAGAAGAACAGAACCCTCCCTTTTGATCCCAGAATAGCCTTTATGAAGGCCGAACGGACGCAACAGAAGTTTACAGAATAACTGACCAAGGGGTCAATCGGATAGGATCATACTGTTCAGAGCAATCATTTTTGTCGTCTTGAGAACATGTTTCTGTTTCCTAATCGTATTTAATAGCCTTATTCAGTGCTGATTTTTTGACGGGAAGTATATCGAACTATGGCACGCCAGACAGTTAGACACATAGTTAGTATTTACTAAACGACAATTGCAAAATTAATAATATCGCTAATGTTCTATAAGTAGTAAAACTATGGTGCTATTATCTAATCCTATCGTGCACTAACAGCCAGATTGTCTGCAACGGCATTGACTAGCGTACAAAAATCTATTTGCATTGCCGTTAGCGGAGCAGCTATGAAGGCCATTATGTCTCTGTATATACAGCTCTTATGCTCTGGTACTGTTACGTGCAACCGCATCGAAAAAAATAAGCCGCAATAAAAACAATTTGAGCATAATTTTTCTGCAGAAGTTCAAGGAGCCGACTTGAACTTAAATCAATGAACGACTTTTTCAACAATCCTGAATATCTATGGTCTAAGACTGAATATGATGCGATGCCTATCCCAGGCTGACAAATGAGGAAACGTTGTTGATGCAGTCTAGAATTTTGCTTAAAATAGCATCTTATATATAATAATGCCGTTTCTTTAGCCATTTACATAGGTGTGCGATTAGAAGCTATGGGCTTCGCGGCAAGGCTTTCCAATAGTACAGCATCAGTCTTCGGTAGATCGATTCATTTGCAAGGGACACCAAAAGATGTTTATATAAATACTACGATTTTGCTAATAACTATAACTGGCTCCGTTTCTGTTACGATCCGTAAAGCAGAAAATCGTTTTTTCTAATGAAGAAAAGGTCATTGATCTTTACAACCAGGACTGATGTTCACAGGTGTTATATATAGACGCAGAACATACTACGGAGTTGTCCGAAATGTTGGCCGACGAAACTTCCAGAGCAAATCTAAATATCATTGTCATGGGTCAGTCGTATAGCAACCTCATGTTATACCTTAGAAAGTAGAAGCGGAATTTATTTTGCAATAAATTTTTAGTGTGATCATGAACGATCGTGTTGATTTTGCGGGGACTAATAAAAGGTATACGACAGTATTGTCGTATTCCATTGTAATTATTACTCCATTATAGCAGTAATCATAATATCCAAAGGAGGCGAATTATATCATCAGTAACGCTCTTCTATTGTCTGTGCCTTGTTACACTAACTTTGTCTTTCAAGATTATTTAGCACTGGAAAATAGTAAACCGTATGCTGTTGCTCTCATCCTGATTCCCCCCGGGGAAGTTTTTTATATTGATCTATCAAAAAAATTTTCGCTACGGAGTCGTTGGCTAGTGGTTACCTAAGGGCCACTATGCCTATTCCAAAGTAATTTTATTGAAAACTGCTAAACATGACACTCAAAATATGGTCGTCCTATTGTCTTCTGCAAACTAGGTCATAATGAGGCCAAAACGCTTGCAGCACTCGAACACCATCAACACTCGGCAGAGTTCTTATTACAGCGAGAAGGATATATAGACTTGTTGTATGTCGACCACGTATGGAAGCTTAGCGCCTCAGCTGTGTAAGGCATGGCAACGGCCATCAGTCCTGCGTATGGAACTCCTTTAGAATATTAACAGCTAGGTACAATGTTTATTCTATATGAAGCAGGTAAAACAGTATGGTATCATCTTAGCTTTAGACGTTCCATATGAAAATGGAAATACCCAAATGAATCTATTAGATCAATTTTAAACGCTGATAACACTTGTTAGATTTACGATAGACACTAACCGGCTTCACTGAAGCGCAGGCTAAGGCCCTGCAGCGCAAACAGGACATGGGCAATGCGAATATCGCCGCAAACTGGTACGAGAGCATAGGACACCCCATGAAGTACGGTCGCTCCCACAAGCAGGTAGTGCATATTTACATAGGAATACAATGGACCACCTGAAAAACATTTTGAAAAATCTAAAATTAAAGCATATTCCGAGCCAACTCCCTTAATTAAGCACTATTTTTTAGGTGTTTTTCTTCATTCACCAGCTCGTATTGCTATATTTTCCAAAAAGTATAATCTTAGTCACAAAGCTACGTATATTGATGATTCTATTCATAGTATTTAGCAGGCGCCATGAGAAACATCTGGAGCTTAAACTTGATATATCTGTTTTAAAGACTTGAATCAACAATAAAAACAAGATACACAAATCATTACATTAAATTGGCCGAGATTTATTTCATTATCACTTACCGACACCGGCGCGTATATCCAACCACTCCCAAAAAGATAACGACCACCACCGATTTTTTCTCTTGTTTTACCGTTCAGCTGATGTTTCCTGCCGATGGGAAACTTTGCGTGTTTCTGCTTTGATTAGCGAAACGACGAATTTTTTACGGGTTAGCTTAATGGAGACTTTCGCCCCGTTTCAGCTTTTTCCGCATAGACGTAAAAGAAGCTAACGGAATAGTCTCCAATTTGTGCTTAGTTTTTTTCGTTTACCCTATAGTACGCTAGCTCTTCTGCCCTAACATTTTGTTTACAGTATACAAACTGCTTGTTGTCGGTGAGCGCTATGGCGAGCATATTTCAACGAGCGTATGGTGTGAGGCATTACAGAACGAGTCCTGTCATTGACAGGAACTTAACATCTGATCGAGATTGGGTTTTAACTGTACAAAAAAAATATATCTTCGTGTACTTATTAGACATAACTGGTTGGCTAGTACTTCCAGTGCGTGCACACGATCTATCTTCGAGTAAAATGCAATTGTTGAGAAACCTGCCACGCCCCGAGAACAAAGATTTGGGTAGGTATTCGTCTGGCAGAACTTTTTCTGCTAGTTGGGCTGCTCGCAGTACTATGGTCTGCTGCAAAAAGCTTCAGACATTTTCTAGCATACTTGATAAAGTTAAACTTTGATACTTAAGAACTGTAAGAGCCTCATTCACCAAAAACGCACGGTTATACTGCCATCATGTAAAACAACTAGACGGATAAAAAGGATCCATGGAGAACAAAGTGGAAATGATGAATGCGCTGATATGTGACGCAAAAAATCACTAAAGGAGACGAAAATCAGAATTGCTAAACCATTTCTTTTCTACGCCATTGCTCACGACACCATGTGGAACAGTCACTATTCCCTTTGAATATTTTTATTATGATTATCCCTATGTTTTGTCACTGTCTTATCGCTGTTTGACAAATTGCTACGTAATCACACACTAGTCGATTACCTCATCAGGTGATAAAATCGATTCATTCATACTGAGGTTATCAGTAACTATTTCGATATGGGACATCTTCTAATGACGCGCTATAGTGGTACACGTAGTCGATAGCAAATTCAAGCAGAGAAGACGAGTAACGTGATGATCTATGGACGTTTATATGTTTGGACGAGTCAACACTAGAACTGCTATAGAAAGGCATCATTGGCTTGATGAGCTATTATTCGCAGGTGGCTCACGGTGTAATTTAGAAAATCGCAGGTAAAAAAACTAGGAACTGTCAGATGTGATGTAAGACATAGCACGAGAAAGTTTGTGTTGACGCTTCATTTGGTACTTTAGGGCGAGGAACATTATTTATCTTTTAGACGTGTACGCTAATCTCTGAGCATTTGGAACAAGGCAGCTCGTTCATGTGGGTCACTTTTGAACTAGGTCAGTTACCCTAACCTGTTGCTCACCTTTTACCGGACAAGGCACAATACCAGTGGATATTCTCTAAGCTCAAGCGCGTACGTACCTAGTACTCATCAACCAGCTATGAATTATGAAACACCGGTGACTCATTATTAACAACCATTTTGAAATGTCTAGTTCCATACTGAATCAAACGCTCGCCTTGAAAAACGGATCCGGTGTTGTTGATTAGTCTATCCTAGTTTACAAATATAAAAAATATTTTCATTACATTTCATATTCCAGTGATTAGCAAAGTTCCTTTCGTCCTGCAGGCTTGATTTGAGCGATTTATATATCACTTGTCCGAATTAGAAGATATACATATTTAATCGTTAGACTCGACTAAGATTTAATGAAAGTAACGTTGCCGGCTATAACGGAATAAATTTACGTCCGTCCATAGTTAAGCGAGCTAACGGAAAATCAACCATCGTCAAAATCTGTTTTTCAAATACTCCTACTGTATACAAGGCATTAATAGTATACATAGTTTGCATCAAATCTTTTATTATATATACATATGTATGTACATTGCCTATATGGCGGTGTGGTTTTTGCGCGTATCCGCAGTATTTTCATTGGTTGCGATTGATTAAATTTGTGTCGCCGAACCCCCTATGCAAGATTATGCTGTTACTGTTTTTACTTTCCATGTCTCGATGACGAACTGATACGCTCGCTGTCTGCTACAGTATATTTGTTTTCTATAATCGACCAATCTATAATCAAAACAGACAATTTCCATTTCGCAGACGACCCGTTCAAAAAGCCCGCCATCGATACAATTCGAAAATATCCTCTTCGGATTATTTGTTCACAGAAGCTGTATAATAACAACGAGCCAATACTTAGGCTATCCTTCACACATGATCGTTTCATAATGGTATCCAGTCGCCACAGCCGCTGAAGCAACAGCAACCCTAATAATAGCAATTTTACAGACATGACGCACGAAAACTGCTCATTTCTAATCTTAGAGCCCAGCTTATCGGACAAGGTCTCGACAAGACCCGGCACCGACAACCCCAGCAGCCGGTGTTTCTTGATACCGTTATTCGCGTCAGCCAGGAAGCATCAACGCAATTGGCGAGCACATGACACGACGATAGTTTTGTGTTAAAAAAGTAGCGTGAAACATAGGTGCGCACGAACGGAAAATTAAATAATGCACAGTTATTATTCAGCCTTTAACAGGCACAGGCAAGCGTTGATTTGCCGCTAAAAGTTAGCCCTCTTGATGAGGTTACCAAACAATAAAAAAGACATTTCTTGTTTCGAGCGCCCTTCAAAAATACAAGCAAAACTGTTGGAAAACTTATTCTAATAGTATGACACAGTATGAAAAGCCACTCCAGACAAAGGGGCAGCCTATTTTATTTGCTGATTTGTCGAAAATTGCCCACAGTCAAACGGTACACGAATCGTTCGAAAACATCGTTCGCAGAGAACGTCATTAGCACAGCCGTGTCACCACTGATATCGCTCAGCGATTTTAAGAAAGGGGTTGCATGAAGACACGAAAGAAATTAGTGGACTGAAGACGTTAGTAAAGTTCAATATTCGCCATTTTATTCTGTGTCAATATCAGCATCGTTATTTGTAAGCTATTTCCTTTTTCTATCGCCTTCTTTCGGTTCGGCATGGAGCTTTCAATACCGAAGCTGTGGCTGCTAGTCCTGTTTCGCCTTTGCGAGGAGGTCAACGGTCGGTGAGAGACAATCGCGGGCAACCCGGACGAGACATTTTCAGTTTAGATAAAATCTGTGGTATTGCGACTGGGATCGCTTGTTGACAAAGTAAATAAATGGTCGAAAAACAAACGCTATTTCACTATTGACTGCAGCATCTCTGACTCTGAAGGCCTACGATTATTCGTTCCCGACATATGCTAATAGATTACTGATGACTCTCGAGTCATCCGGAGCCAGAATTGACTGAAAGATCTATCCTGTTCGAAGTGAAGGTGGTGATTCTTATATCCCTTACGTTATTAGTGAAATGCTAAATGAATAGGGTTTTTTTCTATCTGCTTTTTAATAGAACTACGCGAGTTACGGTACCTATGTTGAGTCTGTTCATCGATTAATTTATCAACAAATTTTCAGGTATAATGAATACAAGCGAATAAAATCCGCCGTTATCAATCGTATTCTGATCTATTATCCTTAAGCGTACCATGTTAAACGAACAAAATTCAATTTCAAGAGTAAGATTTTCATTTTGTTTTCATGAAATTAGTTGGCGACAAATTTCGATATTGATGAACAGTAGATTTAGAACAACCGTCTCATAGGACGCTGATGTAAATTATGTCAAGTTACCACTGGCAATGAAACCTATTTAACATTTTTCAATTTTTGGTCATTTTCAAGAGAATTACTAAAAAGCTCGATCTTATGGAAAATGTGTTTCACCGCAACTTGCATGAATTAAAGCCGTGGAGGGGGTATTACAGTAGATTTGCATACGAATAATAATTTTATAAATCGTAATTGAAGATTAGGCAAGAATCAGGCTTCTCAACTACGAAAAAGTAATTCGCACATATATTATTTATATATATATATATA